AAGCGCTCCTCCGGGTACTTTGCCTCCTAATATCTTTCACGGGGGGTTCCCAGAGGAGGGCCTCTGCTGCCAATCTCAGGGGGTGGGAGGGTAAATATGGAAGAAGACATTCCTTTAGGTATCCAGGTCCCAAGCCATTAAGGGCTTTACAGGTAATAACAAGCACCTTGAATTGAGCCCGGACTTCAATGGGAAGCCAGTGAAGCTGATAGAGGACTGGGGTTATATGAGAGTAACACCCAGTTCCCATCAATAAATCTATTATTGTTCAACATGAAGCCTATTTAATTTTGTTTGCCTAGGACATGTAGTTACTTAGATATTCACATTTCAAATAATGTCAATTTTTTTGGGACATCCTGTACTTTGGACAGCACCTCACTCTAATTCCCTGGTTACTGAAGACAAAAAGGAATTATGTCTGACTGAACAGAGGACAAGACCACTGAAGTGATCATGCAATGCACTCAGCCAGTCCAGAAGTAATGGGATATGGAGGATTCTACTCTTCCCTTTGATCTCGAAACAAAAAGCTTTCTAGATCGCCAACATTTGTTGTCAACAAACTGCAATACCATTTTTCATCCTGAGATAAATAATAATGGAAACAATTGAGTATATTGTACTCCTACCTTCAAATGCAAATTATCTTTGTATTACTAGAGGTATTAAGCAGTTTGATCATCTGTGTAGAAGTGCTGTTAAATTGCAATATGTGGACGTGATGCCATATTTATGTCCCTGAACATCACAGTATAAATGGCTTAGCAACAGGGATTTTCTAGAAGAGTTTGAATTGTTCTTTCCTTTAGGACACAATCCTATGCACATTTTGACAGAAAAGAAGTCCTATAATTCCCAGCAACTCTGTAGCCAGATATTCTGGCTGGGGCATGCTGGGAGCTAAAAGACTGTTTTTCTGTAGAAAAATGCATGGGATCACATCCTTAATTGAACCTTTTAGTCCTTTTGATACAATGGACTGAAAGACTATTTTAATAACCATACCTAGCTATCATTATTTGCACTCAGCATGGCTTCTGGAACCATCCCATATACCTTCCATATAGCCTGAAGTGCCTGGAGTCTGGATGGGTGACTTGGGTGAATGAGATTCTATGGTTATTGTTGTAAACCGCCCAGAGAGCTTTTTCTGTGGGTGGTACAGAAATGTTAATAACAACCAGAAATAGACACATCAGAGTAATTCCTAGCCATCTTCCCTATCATGGCATACAACAGCCTATCTTCTGCCTTTTAGCAAGGAATGGCTAGAAATAATATAAATGGCAACAACTCTAGAGTATTGACCAACATCCACAGAATTATACTTCGGAATTAATCTAAAACTTTATATTTATTTCATTCTATCAACTGACAGGACTGCAGAAGATTTTTATGGAAAATTAAGATAATTCCAAATATAAAATTTCCCCATATTTTACAATTTATGGGTTTCATTGAATGTCCATGAGAAACATATATAATCTCAGTTGACTATATACCATATACCAGAAATAAGATTTGTAGGATATGGTACGTATTTAAAGTGCTAATTAAAGTTTAATATAACATTTATGTTGCAGTTTACAATACACAGCAATTATTAGATTGTATCTGATGTTAACCTAATTTAAGTACAATTTATTTCCAGAGATCAGCTCTAAAAAGGATTAATACTACATACCACTCAGTCATCTTCCCAAGTTTTTTTTTAAAGATAAACTCTAGTTTTAAAAGCATGGAAATCGATACTAGTTTAAAAATAGAGGAAACTACTTCCATGCACATTTTGATTTCTTTAGGTTCAGTTCAGCGTTGCTGCAAGTCATCTTCTTGACTGGTTAGCACCTAAACTACTGATGAGAAGCACAACTATTATTTGCTATCCCAACTGTGGCTCTTCTACGTCTTTCAAAACCTTGAAAACTTCAGAAAAGCAGCAAGGAAGAATCTACAAATTATTACCACGTGGTTATGAAAGCCTGAACAATAAAGTCCCCCCTTTCTGCTATGTATTTAAAAACGCACACATCATAATCACACTCTATACGACATTCCTTTTCCCCTAGAGAGAAAGCAAATACTTACTTCAGGGCAGGCAACTTTTAAGAGAAAAATGGGCATGCCGTTCGGGGGAGCTAATAAAAACGACAACTCCCAGAATGCTGCAGTTTTTCAACATTTTTTAACCATTTGTAAGGAAGAAGGGAGGCTTTAGTAACAAGGGAGGGGTTTAATCTAATAATGAAGACTGAAAGTTGACAGTTACATAGAGTTGAAGATGCGAAGAGCTTTTTAAATATAAACCATGCGAACTTGGGGTTTTCAAGAGGATTTGCATAGACAATTCTTTGCATTATACTAATCTTTAAATGAAACTGTAATCAATACATAGGATATGTCGTCCAGGGAAGTTATTTTAAGGTTTTAGTTTACAGATGAAATATACTTTGCATTATAACAGAAAATAGTTCAGTGAGAAGTCACATTAAATTGTCTTATGCCAGCTTGAAATATAATACATGAAATCCTACCCACATTTATCTAAGACTACGTCTAGTGCTCGATCTGGAGAAGAAGCCCATCACCAAGTTAGTCAAGAAATCTTCTACCTTATCTGCTCTTGATGTATGGAAGTGAACTTGGTAGAATTTCCAGTAACATGCATAGGACAGGGCATATTAAAAGCGAAGCTATTTTGAGAAACTTAACCCTTCCAATACTTTGATATTAAGAGTGAATATTGGCCTCAAAGGGTAAGGAACACCTAGGACACATAATTAAACATACCATTTCTGTCTAAAAGAAATGACCATGTAAACAGTTCAGATACAGTATTATTGTCAGTTTCAACTTTGATTCTAAGTCCCTGATAAGAAAATTAGAAGAAATTATTTCATCTAATATATTCCAGAATGCTAAAACCCAGATCCTAACTAAGCATGCTTGTTTTCAATAGGCATGGTTACTTAGAAACAATTTCTGCTAAACTCAGTGAGGTTGACCCTTTCATAAATATGCTTAGGATTGCATTGTATGTCAAAGCTGTAGACTATACATGTTTAATCAGAAATAAATATTGATGTGGCTTACAAATCCATGCACAGAATTACACAGAATTTTCTTCTATGGAAAAATGCATACACTACTCTGCAGATAAGTTTTTGAATTATACAGGAAACTTCCACATACTGAGTCTTCCCATGTCAGAGTCTTAGAATTTCAGTTGCAAGGAGTGTTTGCTTGGATTCACAGGGAGATGTATTTCATTAAGAGCATCAGCAGATTTATTGGATTGAGCCCTCAGGTACCCTTTGCAGAGACAAACCTTACTAACAGCAGTACCAAGGAGAGGTTGAAATCAGCTACAAGCTTCCAGAACATACAGAGTGTTTCATAGGTTTTGAATCACCTGACAGGGCAGGTGATGATGAAATAAGTCAACACAGTCAGGGAACACAGTCAAAAGAATATACTGTAGAGGGGACCATAGTGTTGATTACAAGATTCAACAAATTAGGAAGGCAAGGATTTAGCTATGAGTTTGATCATGCAAATTAGGGTGATTACAATGCTGCTTAAAGAAAACTTCTCTGGCCTGTTGGTGAAAAGGAATAGAGAAGGATTAACTTTCCTTGGCTAGCTAAGAGTTCCAACCTCTAAAGTAACAGCAGTGCTAAACAGTAACCTGGCTTGGAATTTTACTTTGAGAAAGGGGCACATATTTGATTTTATAACACAAAGGCACATATAAGCAACCATTTTCTACCAGAATTTATCTGAATTTTGCCAACACTCACCTACCTCAGTATTGCTGCCTTTAGCTTTTAGCTTTCTTCCTTTAGATTTTTCCCTTAGAGGCAACTGATAAATATCATAATAAATAATTGAAAACCAACAGCCAATCCATATGGACAGAGGTAGTTTTGCTACAGTTATTCATGCTCTGGTAACCTCTTGCTCAGATTATCATTATGCATTGCATGTGAGGCTGTTTTTGAAAATGATTCATTTAGACCCAAAGTTGTTAACTGAGACTGGATGTCCTGAACATGTTACACTAGTGCTTTGTGGATTCATCTGTTTTTGTGTCCTATTCAAAGCATTCTTTTTAAAGCTGCAACTACTTTTGGACCAGATTATCTGATGAACTGCATTGTCCCATTTTTAGTCTATTCAGGCCCTGAATTCATCATCACAGCCCTTTCAGTGCACTAAGATCCAGTAAGTGGCTACAAGGAAGGAAAAGTTGTCAGTGATAGTACTGAGTTGGGGCAATGCCTTCTTCAGAGAGGGCATTCCACTATTGTCTAGTGCTTACACAGTTTCCCCACCTTGTAAAGGTCCCTTTTCTGACTTTTAAAGTTCAAAGATGTTGAAGGAGAGTAAAAGTAGCACCAACAGCCACTTCAGCTTATACCTTAAGGTTCCCTTCTCTGCTGATGCTACTGATTTACCTCTGGTATGCAGTTTGGGTATTGAAATGTATATTTGTTTTTATAATCTCTGTATACATCACCATGTACATCTCTCTGTATAGCATCATGGATATGGGGTAGCATAAAAATATGCTGAATTGCACACTGACTGGAACTTTTCTCAGCCAGACCTGGATAGCTAAGCTGGGGCGTGTACCTGGGACCTTCTGCATACAAAATATATGGAACTTTCACTGAAAACTGCCTTCTTTGTATACATTGCAAGCGTACATTTTATTAGTTTCAAATTCTTTGATACAGTAAATTATTCAGAAACTGGTTATTTGCAATATTCTGGTGAACACGCCTAAATTGATGCCTTTTGGGTTGTCTTGGGAACTCCCTTGATTTCTTCAGTTTGGATAACTCCTTTGAGCTCTCTAACAATTATGTAATTTGTTTTATGTTGTTACTATTATTTTCAGGTTGCCTTTAAGGTGGCACAATTTACTAATACAGCACAGTGTAGGAAATGCTGTGGATTCATTTGAATGCAAGGCTGGTCTCATGCAGACTTACTGGCGATTCGGGCCTTGGTAAGCCGCCCGTCGTGCCCGTTTTCTATAAACATTTCGGATCCTGCTTACAATGTTTTTATTAAACATCTATAGGTTTCACTCGCTCCGTCGCTCTTTTCGTTATAGCGCCACCAAAACTGTGTCAGGGCGAGTTCCTGCTGCCGCCGCCTCGGCAGCCTTTGTCCACTCGACCTAGTGAGCATTCACATCGCCTTGGACTGCGGCATTCACAACATGGCCGCCGCTATGGCCGTTCGAGACCGCGGAATAACTACCGCCATATGCTCCGGGCCGGCTTTCTTGCGTTAGGACCGTAGCTAGCGTTACATGTGCAGTGTTGTGTGCGAGCAGGCATGCAAGTTTTCCACTCCGTGGTAGCACACGAGACATCGACATGCTTATTAAAATACGGCTTTTTTTCTAGCCACGGAAATAATCCTTTCCAACTTCCGTGCAACCCCACTTCAGACGTTCCATTGCCCTTGAAAGCCTAGAGCAACGGCTCAGCATAAATGAGGAGTGGGGGAGGGAATGATTCGCCACCGCTAGTCACGTCTCCTCCCGCTCTCGTAGTCTAGCAAGCCGCTGCTCTATGGCTAAAGCCAATACCAGAACGTTCGCTCACAAGCCAGCTCAGTGCCCACCCCTTAACGAAACAAGCAATCAGAGACCGGAGAGGATAAAGGAAGTGGGGAAAGCGAGGGAGGGGCGTTCGATCGTGTCTCCTTCCGGTGTTGCATTGTAGGGCGCAGGCGGATCTGCGTCTCGGGGAGAGTAAGAGGTTCGTGCTGCGCGAGGCTGTCATGGCGACTAACATCGAACAGATTTTTCGGTCTTTTGTCGTTAGCAAGTTCCGGGAGATCCAGGAGCAGCAATTCGGCGGGTAAGTGGGGCAGGAGTAAGCTGCTGACGCGCGGGGGGGGGGGCGGGCGGGATCCTGGTGGCGGTCCGCGGCTTAACGGGCGAAGCGGATGGAGTGGGGGAGGGGCTGGCGGAGAGACCGGAAGGAATGTTGGGGGAGCGAAAGGGGGTGACAACGGTGTGGGGACGGGGCTGAGGGGAAATGTGGATGGTGGGCCACGCGCTTGTTCAGGAACGGACAGTGGAAAGGACGGAGCGGGAGAAAATGGGGTGCCGATGGGGAAGATAACGAGGAAGATCTTACCGAGGGGGGGTGGGGAGCCTGGTGCGGCTGGCTAACCCGCGTGTAGCCTAGCTTTAAATCGGTCGTTGGCCTAGCGTGAAGGTTTTGGATACGATATTGTTTAAAGTTTTCTGGAAGTTGAGGAACTGTAGATGCTTCCAGAATGTTAAGAGTTTAGGAACGGATTGCGAGCCTAAATAGTTAGCTAGAGAATTATTAAAATAAACGAAGTGTATATTATTACCTGTTGTTTCAGAGAGCCAGTCTTGGGCATGGTGAACATCGAGGAAAGTTCTTTTCCTCCAGTTGTTCTTGCCAGTCAACGCAAGATAAACGGAGACTAATTGAGTGGAAGTAGGCTGATAAGCCACCTTAAGTATGCTTACAAAGAAGGTTTTATAACATAGTAAACAGCCAAACTGAGCACAGCTTGGGTTGCTTTAGAAAAAAAATACATAATTGTGCCATGAAAGTCAAGTATTGTGTTTTTTTGCTGATCTGTAATATCTCATTATTAAAACTTATTTTTTAAAAATGTGGATGAATGTTAACTTGTTTACGAATGTTTGTTCATAATTAGCCTTAGCCTTAGATGTCTTGAAATATATGGTGTTAGAGCTGACAGTTATAGATAATTGTGGTTCTAGTGACCTGTGTCTCTGCTGGCAGAATTGATTGCCACTTTCCTCTGTAGCCTCTGGAGCAGTCTTGGAGAGTGGGAGTGCATGGAGAAGGAAAGCCAAGGAAGTCTTATTGAATGAGTAGAGGTTTATTCACATAATGTTGGATGGATTCCTTAGGATTAAGCAGTAGTGTTTTCACTTGGATGACATTTTACATTTTCTATTTTCTTGGCGTTTTAAAAATATAAAGGACTTCTTGAAGACAAAATAAGGTGCTGTAATGGCCATATAAGACTTGAAGTCATGAAAAGTTATTTTTGTTCACCATACTGCTTGTTCAGTCTGCTTGGAATTAGTGCAAAAGTTATTTTTTAAAATGCATTAATGTCACATATGAAGTAAGCTTGTCAAGACAAAAAATAGGGAACATTTGTTGACAGACTCTGGTAACTGTAAAAAGCATCAAATTCAATGCTAAGCACTGACTACAGAAGCCGTGAATAAAATATTTCAGAGTTAAAAACATGTGTAAATTATATCAAAACAAATGCTTTTAATATGAAGGGGTTTTGGGAAAGGGGGATGTAAGTAACAAAGTATACTACATACTTGTAATTATAAATCTGAGTTTTTATTAACTATATTTGTATATTCTAATTTGAAACAAGTCTGAGAGCAGTGCTGGAGCAACCATACAAGAAAAGGCCAATGAAAGACCAACATATTAAAAGACCATTAAGACCATTCAGTGGGAATGCCTACATCCTGGTGATGTCAGGCTCCTCCTTTTTCTTTTCTCTCCCAGAATGCCCCTTATATCTTCTTTGTGGCATGCTTACAACCTCAGATAAGCACCTAGACACTTCTTTCCACACTAGTTGAAACTGCAGAGTGGGATGTAAGTACAGAACTGTGGATCTTAGATTGGAGCTCTTTTCCAGCCCTATCCCAAAATTTGAAAACTCTAGTCACTGTCTAGAGGGCCATAGAGTTGCTCTGCCCATGTATGAAAATGTCAAAAACGAAAAATAACTTTCATGTTCCTCAGTATGCTGATGGTATGGTACAGTATTCTTCAATATCATGTAGTTAAGTGCCTCAATACAATATTCTGAAGTTTCTCCAAGTGCCAAGTAGGATGTCTGCCAGTGGTATCGATATTCACATGTATCCAGAAATCAATATAATAAACAGAAGATATTTTCATGAAGTATTAGGGCCATATCAAATCACCACACTGCACCTGTGAAGTGTATTTCAGTAAGAATTAAAGATTTATCTGAGTGTTAAAGCAAAAATTAATTGCAAATGACTACAATGATTTAAAATAGTATTGACTGCAGTTACAGTTAATTCCAGAGGGAAGAGCAATTACTCAGTTGAAAGCAACTATTATAAAATTAGAATATGAAGCAAAGGCATTAACACATATACGAAAGGAAATAAAGTCCAAAATTTTGCAAATACAAACCTAATAGGTTTTTAATTCTGAAAATAGGCTTATACAACTGGGCTGGCATTAACATTTCATATATCTCACATAAAGTAGCATAACCTCAATGCATTATTTAGACTGGGGTACAGAGGAGATGATAATATAGGAGGCATATATCCATAAAATTCCAAATATGGGATAGATTGACTCAATAAAGAAAGCCACAGCCTTGAATTACAATTGCTGAGGAAGGGCTGTCAAGGACAAAACATTTTGGAGGGCATTCATCCATAGGGTCACCCTAAGTCAGAGATGATGGCGCATAACAACCAGAAAGTTACTAGCAGGGATAAAAATATCAGCCCAGTTGCATCGATGCCATATCTTTTGCTTGAAAGCTAAAAAATAAAAGGTTATTCTCAACATGATGGTCAGCAGACCAGTGCTTGAAAGAGGCATCCAGCTTCCTATTCTTAACTGTGCTCTGCATTCTAGTTAGTAGCAACTTTGTTGTTTTACTTACCTGGATTAGCCCTGTACATACTGCATTTTATTAAACACTGGTATAATATGTCAATTTATGTCTTCCATCATTTGGATTATGGAAGAAAAGCAAACAAAAATACCATGGTCAAGATCTAATGTGTTCCAAGGGAAATTATTTATATTCACATCAAGTCGTTTTTTCCATACTCTCTCATATTTGAGTGCATTCTAGTTCTCATCTTAGTTTTGTTCTATTGTAAACAAAGTAGGAGCTTGGGACATAATGAGAAGTTGGATGTTATATTTTAAAAAGGTAGATTGTAATACATAATTCTGTTGTGGCATCTTGCTAAGTGGTATCCTATTGTGCTTGTATGCAATATACAAAACTAGTGTACAAATATCAACACTGGAATTATTCTTATTTCTGTATTTAAAATTATAGGCAAGAGAAAAGGAAGAATTCTTGAGTGGTATAATATAGCAGTCACATAAAGATATTGAATCTGATGCTAATTGAGATGGGGGGGAAAAGTGACAGTATCCAGTGGTGCTATTCTGTTGCAGGTGTAGGCCCCACAGCTTATGCTACAGGCCTTTTTCAGTTGTAAAAATCTAAAAAGACTTGGAAATACTAGTTTCTGGAGGTGGGCAGGTCAACAGAATTTACAGAAGAGGGGTTCCACTGACTTGTCCCAATCCTGACAAATGTTTTTTTTTCCCCATTTCAGCTTATTTTTAAAAGCAGAAAAGCCCTGTTGTGTGAACTGTAGGTCTTGTGAGAGCAATGGAGGCAAAGCTGCCCCATTGGATACTGTCCAGGTTTTCTATAGTGATTGCCTTGAGAATCAGCCTTATGGGATTATCAGATTGTTTCTGCTTGCCCATGATTCAGCAATGGAAATAACTGTATTTCTAGTGATGTTATTTGTATCATAATTTAAGATATGTAACTTCTTAATCATGGATCTTTGATATATTTATTTTCCAATTCTTAAATAGGTTTATTTTTAATTAAGCATCAGCATCATATTGAATTTTATTTTAAAAATTCATCTGAATTTGAGATTTTTGCATCTTTTTCTTGATTAGTGGAAAGGTGGGAGCTCAACACAATGGTGAAATAAATTCATCTGAGCAAGTAAACCCTTCAGATGATACCATTGCATCTATTGGGAATCTTCAGAATGATCCACTGGTACAGAAGATAGAACAAGTATTATCAGAAGTGTTGGGTGCAGAATCACAATACAGATCAGGTAAATATTGTAAGCTTTGTATTCAATTTCCTTTACCCATGCATTCTCAATTTGCACACAGGTTTTTCAAAGTTTGATTGCTATGCAAAAAATGGGTTGTTTAAAATGCATCTAACAGCTGCATAGCCAATGGATTGTCATGGTGGCAAATCATGTGTGGCAGGCACATTCACAGCTGAACACTAACCAACCTCAGCCTGGTTACCCTTCTGGTATTTTGGCCTGTAACTCACTTATAGTCAGCATAGCTATAGTCAGGAAATTGTAGCACTCCTAACCATAACATCTGTAGGGTACCAAGTTAGGGAGTAGACCGAATTGAATTTACTGGATCTTATTTCTGAGCAAGTAGATTTAGGATTGGACTAGAACAATGAAATCAATGTACAAATTTTGAAATTTTATATATTCATTATTCCATTTCCTTGATTATTGTAAAAAAGATTCAGGAATCTGGTTCACATAGTTAAACTGGGCAAAACAAGGCTGCACAGCAGCATCCAAATATGTTGCCTCTTGTCTGCCTTTCACTCCTGGTTTGCATTGGAATTCATAAACAACCCAGGAGTTCCCATTCCTGAATTTTTAAAGTGATGTGAGAGCCCAAAACTATGTTTAAAAAATAAACTAACCAAAGTTTTAATTCATCATGTTGTTGGGATAAAGCTCTGTGTTTATCCTGAAGCATCCCAGACTTCTGGGCTTGTAAGTTGTATCTAATAAGCAAGTAAACCCTTCAGATACACTAACTACATTCCCATTTCATCTGTTGGGAATCTTCAACAATTAAGATCCTTTTCACATCTTTGGGGAATCCCGTGTGCTGTTCCCCTTGTAATGGTGTCAGGGGAGTGGCATGCAAGGAAATCTCAGTTTTCACTCATCACAGGTCTGAAATAATGGTGGGAATTTTTATTCCCTCCTCTTTGGCCACCGCCGCCGCCTCCATCATATACATCCTAGCTATATTTCTCTTACAAAGCATCCAAAGAGGTATTTGAGATTCTTCTCTTTATTTTATCCTCATAATAATCCTGTGAGGTAGGATAGACCTAGATTCTGGCCCAAAATTATCTTGTGAACTTAATAGCTGAAAGGGGGAACTAGGGCCCAGATACCTGAGTACCAGTCCAACAGTCTAACCCCTATTCCACATTGGCTCTCAATTTCCTGAATGGGACTCATAGAAGTGGCACAGGTCTCCTTAGCTGGGTGGAGAGTTAATGTAGCCTATAGGTTCTTACCTTCTATACTAAATGAAAAATACTTCATTATCCAAAATGGTTTAAGGTTCTTGGGACCATTTTTCCAGTTTAATTTAGGGCCTTCACATCATTACATTTCAGGGTTTGGGAGTATTCCAGTGTGGTGTGAGTTATGGTGCCAAGGACAGCACTTATATGGTGGAATTGGTAGATACCGTTCTGGGGTAGAGAAACCTGGAATGGGCATTTTCTAGTTTCCAACATTAATACTGCATGAAGTTTTGTTTGCTTGATCCAAAATTGTATAGTTTTTTTAACTTTATAGATAAATGTCCAAGTAAAAAATAACAGAACACTGCTTTTTTTTTTAACTTTGTAAATCTAGCCTTTGATTTTCATGCAACTTGACTCAATTTTTTGAAGTTATTTGTATTTTGTGTGTTAAATTTTAACAAGAACATTTTTTTTAAGATGATCAAGAGGATTTAGTGAAAAATAAATCTCGCTCATATAAAAGAGGCTTGTCTGAAGAAGTCCAGGATGAAATTCCACGGAAGAAGTCGAAAAAGGATAAGAAACACAAAGATAAGAAGAAGAAGAAGAAAAGAAAGAAGGAGAAAAAGGAGAAAAAATACAAAAGGCAGTCCAAGGGATCAAAAGTAAATGCCCAGGAAGATGAATGTGAAGAACTGTCACCTTGCTCTCATTCAAAACCAGAAAATTCAAGCTCCCTGATGAGCACAGAAGATGTGGATATCCAGTCTGCATCTGCCTTGACACAGGGTTCTTCATGGATTAAAGAAAAATCTGCACTTGAAAGCCTAAATTCAACCACATCAAATTCACATGATGCATTTAGTTCAGATACCAGCAAACTGGATACATCTGAAGACGATTCTGCTTTAATCAGAGGGCAGGAGATCAGGAAAGTGGATCTTACAAATGAGAGAGAACTGCAAAATGACTCTTATCAGACTACCAACCTAACTGTGAATCTGTTCACAGAGATTGAGTCTTTAAATACTTCTGAGGCTGATGGTAGTGTTGTTTGCATGGCTAGAAGTGGAGTGTCTTGCATAAAAGAAGTAGAACAGCCTGAAGCTAGTTCAGTGTTGGAGGCAACAGAAAAAGTGAGCGTTCCTGGAAACAGTCCACATTCTGTAGTAGTGGAACTGGAAGATGCAGAAATGAGTTTGGAGTCTGATACAATGGAGGTTAAAAGTCTGGATTCTGTTTCAGAATCTTTATATTCAGACAGCATGAAACAATCTGTAACAACTTCATTTGAAACGTCTGGCTGTAAATTCATGAATGCACCCTTGGAGGCAGTTGCAGAGGCCAAAGATTCAGTGACAACTTTGGGATTTTTGGCTATGGTTGTAGGGAAAGATTTTGAAGCAACTTCAGAATTTTTGAATACGGCAAAAGTAAAAGCTGCTGAGAGAAGTCCAAAACATACTGCCATTACAGATGTGAAAGATTTAGTGCATGACACTGAGAGAATTACTGCAGTAAAAGATTTGCAGAAGAATCTACAGTTTGAGTCTAGAGCAGAGCTGAAGGATTCAGAAGGAACTCCAGAATCTCTGCATGAAATTTCTGGAAAAGGTATTGAATCTGTTGTAGAAAGTAAACTGAAGTCCCAGCCAAATGATTCGGAAAGAATTACAAAATTTGACATTTTGGCAGAAACTCTTGCTACTGAGACTATGGCAAGGAAGACAGAATTAAAAGCAACCCAAGGCTCTGTAATTATGATGGAGTCGCAAGATTCAGAAAAATATCCAGGACCACAGGAAATTGTAGCAGATGCAAAAGACTTGAGAAAACCACCAGAGCTGGAGGTTATGAGTAGAACAAATTCAGAAGTATGTGTTTCAGATGTAGTAGAAGCAAAGAATTTGGATACTGCTTCAGCGTGTAAGAAAATTGACTTGAGATATTTAAAAGCAAAATCTGATGATTGTGCATCAGAAATGGAAAATGTGAATACCGTTCCTGAGCCTCTTGGAATGATGGGTGCGAGGACTCTAGATTGTCCTCCAGGATTTCAGAAAACCACACAGGAGCAGAAGGGAGATTCAAAAATTATCCAAGATTCAGATACAGTAATTGAGGTGAAAGTTCATGAAAGCAGTTCACAATCTAAAGTTCCAGAGATAAGTGGTTTAGAAGCAATTTCAGAAACTTCAGAGATAATGAAAACACAAAATCTGGAATTTTCAGAATATTTAAGCAGAGGAGATATGGCAAGTAAGTTGGTGGTAAATTTGAAGGATATGGAAAATGTTTCAGAACCTTTAATGACTGTGAAAAATGTAGAAAATACATCATCTCAGAACATAGAAGATATTAGAGATGTGGATATTGTACAGTCTGATGCAGGGATACAGAGAAAAGATTTAGAAATTAGCCTAGAACCTGAAGCAGGAAAAGAGGAGAAAGACTTGGATGCTACTTCAGAGTCCCTGCATATGATATTTACAAACTATTCAGAACATAGTCTAGAACTTTACACAGAACCTGAGGTTATGATGGAGTTAAGAAGTTCAGAAACTGTTCCAGAATCAGTGTACATGCTGAATGCGAACAGTTGTAAAGCACTACATACTGGAGAAGTCAAGGACTTAAAAACGGTAGAATCTGAAACAATGGCTGGATTGAATATTTTACAGAAAAAGTTAGGACCTCTACAGAGGGATGTCCAAAATGTGGATGCAGCAGGAGCTAAGGCAATGCCATCTGTGAAATACTCAGAGACATTTGAGGCAGAGGCCAAAGGGAAACAAATTAATACTGTTTCTCAGTTTATAGCTAGATTAGGGGAGGCTTCTGATACTAGTGGATTTGTAGAAAAGGATCAGAATGCTGCAGAAGCATACCTGGAAATTTTACCAAGCTATGAGAAAGTGACTAAACATGACTTCAGAGAAAAAACAGGAAATAAGTTGTTTGCTGAGGATGATGGCCCATTTTGTAGTTCAAAATCTTTAGAAAAGATGGATGTTATAAGTTCAGAACAAACTCCAAAATTGGGAGCCACAGCAGTGATACAAGAGTTAAAAGAAACAAATCTGGTAGATGTGGGGGGTCTTAAGGAATCAGAGTTGAAAAATACAGCTTCAATTGATTCAGCAGATAATTCCAACTATGTGAGTATTGTAAAAGGTTTTGAAACAAGTTCAGAGTGTCAGGCAGAACAAAATATAGAATCGTTGCAGCATGTGAAAGCTAAAGTCAGAGAAGTGAACTTAGATTCTGTTTATGACTTGGAAGATAAATATGCAAGAACAAGTCCAGAATTTCTGCTTCCAGATGCATTAAGTAATCAGGAAGAGAAGCAGAAATTGGAAGAAAAGACAGAAATAGCAGCCCCAGAATCTCTTTCTGTATCAGAGAGAGCTGTGATTATGGTTCCAGAATCTCATGAAAGTAAGGAGGTGATAACTTGTAAACATGGGCCAGAATCTAGGTATGTGTTAGAAACAAAACAAAATTTGGACTCAAATATCATAGTTGTAAAAGACTTGGAAATTGATTCAGAACCTACCTTCCATGCAGGTGAAAAAAAATCAGATCTTCCAGAATATGAATCTTCTAGGAAAAATGAAGTACTACTAGAATCACAGAGTCTGTCAATGTTGCAAGAGTCAGGTACCACACTGAGAAGTGACACACTTACACTTCAGACTATGGAAGCACATTCAGAAATGGCGCGTGTGAGTAATACTGAAAATTCGGAAGTACCATCACAGTGCGAAGAACTGGTAGTAGTGGGAGAACTAGAAGGAGCACCAGGATCTCGGTTTGCGCTAGGTACATTAACTGTGAAAACAACACCTCTCTTGGTCCATGCAACTGAGGATAAAGAGTTCAAAGCTACTAAAACAGTTGGAGCAGGAGCAAACATAGACAAATTGATGGTATCAACAGAGTCTGTTGTATTACAAGAAACTTTTGAACCTGTTTGTGTGATGGATGTGAAAGATTTAGAAGCAAGTCAGAAGTTGGAAACTGATCTTGACTCTGTGGCCCAAAAAGAAATCAGTAACTTACACACACAGTCTTCTCATAAAGCTGGTGTAAATGCTGCAGAGACACTTAAAAAAACTGGACATCTGGTAGATGCTTATATCGCAGAAGACATCCTGACAGCTGCAGAAGAAAAGGACTCTGGACCAGTTCTGGAATCGGATGCAAAATATTCTGAATCATTTTTTGAATCTACAACCATTTCAGAAAAAGATAATTCTGACACAAATCTATCTATGTTTGTGACAGATGTCAAAGATTCTGCAGCAGGCTCCAGTGCTCTAGGTACAGGAGAGTTGAACAATTTAAAAGCAGTGCTGCACTTTGAAAGAACATCCACGCCTTTGTGTGCGTTAGAGTCAAGGGATTCAAATGATGCTGTAGCATCTTTACCTAAAACGGAAATAAAAGATATTAGAAAAACACTGAACTATGAAAGAGTATTGGAAGTTAAAGATCCAGTAGTCTGTGCAGCACATCTAAGTACACCAGGAGTAGCACCTTCAGAATCTGTCTCTGTGTCAGAAGTAACTGACGGTATGGGATTTATAGAATTAAAAACTACTCCAACAGATACAGGAGATTTAAAGTCTTCTGATACAACAGCAGAGACAAATTCATTAATAATTGATCCTGAGATTCATCTGCAACAAGAACATTCTTCAATAGTAAAATGTTTGGATTCCACTTCAGAAGCTGAGTATGTTCTAGAGACACCTGGCAACAAAACTGCTGCAGAATCTGAATGTACAATGGAAGAGAAAATTTCAGAGGTAATATGTCCAGATAGTGTGGAAAATCTTGAAGCTATTCCTAAACATATTCAAGAAACAAAGGATTTGGAATCTCTTTCACAATTTGTGCACACTGTGAATGCAAAAGATCTGGAAGGAAGTCTCATATATGAAGATGTGCTAAATGTTTCAGGAACTACCCCACAGATTTCAAGTGCAGTAGAAAGAACAGACTTGGCTAATTCATCTATGGTTGCAGAAGCAGTAAAAGAGTCAGAGTACCCTAAATACCCTGAAGAAATGCTAGGTAATGTAGATGTCAAAAATGCACAGGAAAAATTAGGTTTTGTGGCTATAGTAGAGTTGAAAGATACAGAACCAACTTTAACATCTGAAACAGTTGTGGAATGTATACATTCAAAAGAACCAGTTAGTTTTGAAACTACTAAATGTAAGTCTGTTGGGGAGGTAAAAGTTGCCCAGACATCAACAGACAAAGAGCCACAGATGGATTTTGAAGAAACCTCAAAGTCTGTCTTAAATTTTGAGAGACGGGATTTGGAAAGAAATTCAACCTCTGTGCTTTTGTCAGAGGTAGATACCTCTGAAGTGTCCTTAGAATCTGCTCAAGTAATGCACGTGAAAGACTCAGTTCATGAATGCATGAGTGCAAAGAACATAGAAATTTCAGAACAACATTCAAAATGTTTGTCTGAGACAGAGCCGAAAGTTCTGGAATCAGCTGCAGGATGTGCAGAGTTAACTCAGGCTAAGAATTTAGAATTGATTCCACCACTCACTGAGGAGGCAAAACATTCAGGAACTACTTTAGAAGATTCATGCATAGCAAAGGAAAAAGATTTGAATGGAACTCCTCAACTCTCTTTAGTGGAGCAGGGTATTAAAGAAGCCCCAAAACCTGTATGCCCAACAGTAAAAGATAACTTTGAAACAAACCAACAAATGACTGTATTGAAGGACTTGGAAGCAGCTTTAGAACCTGTGCATGTCACAGCAGAGAAGAGTGTGAAAGTGGGAGAACAGGTAATTACAGAGACAAAAGACTCAGAAGCAGCTCTTGAACCCATGCACGTGGAAAAGGAGAAGGACTTGGAAACAACTCTGCAAGACTCCGTGAAGGATCATGATTCAGAGGCTACTCCAAAGTCTTCAGACATAACGAAGGAAAATGAAGAAAGTGCTTTGAAAGAGAAAAAAAGTGAAAAGATAAGCAGCAAAAGTAGAGATAAAAGTAAGAGTGGGAAAAAAGCAAAAAAGAGCAGATCTAAATCTCCTTCCAAGTCAAAAAAGCGTAAAAAGAAGTCTAGATCACATTCTACCTCCAGACAGGCAGCATCAAGAAGAGGACGTTCTAGAAGCAAGACTGATTCGAGTTCCAGGAAAAAGCATTCTACTTCACGTCATAAATCTAGATCAAGATCTGCTGACAAAAAAGAGAGCAAGGAATCTTCAGTAAGGTCTAGACGGAGGCGTTCACGAACATCTGATCTTAAATCTAGATCCAGATCTCCTGAAAAGAGAGAAACCTCAGTAAGATCAAGGCAGAGACGGTCCAGATCTTCTGATCATCACAAGTCTAGATCCAGATCGGTTGACAGAAGAGAATCAGCCAGAAGAAGGCGAAGATTGTCAAGGTCCTCTGATAACCATAAATCTAGATCTAGATCAGTTGATAGAAGAGAGAGAGTGAGGTCACGGCGGAGACAGTCTAGATCTTCTGATCGTCGCAAATCCAGATCGCGATCCATTGACAAAAGAGAGACTTCAGTGCGGACAAGGCGAAGACGGTCTCAGTCTTCTGATCATTACAAATCTAGATCCCGATCTCTTGACAGAAGAGAGTCTTCAGTAAGAACACGGAGAAGACAGTCCAGATCCTCTGACCGTCATAAATCTAGATCAAGGTCAGTTGATGACAGAAGAGAATCTTCAGTGAGGACAAGGCGGAGGCGGTCAAGGTCCCGTGATACTCGCAAATCTAGGTCCAGATCTGTTGACAGAAGGGAGACGACAGTGAGAACAAGAAGAAGGCGGTCCAGATCCTCCGATAATCGCAAATCTCGATCCAGATCAGTAGACAAAAGGGAGAGTACAGCAAGGATAAGACGCAGGCGGTCCAGATCCTCTGATAATCGCAGATCAAAATCTAAATCGGTTGACAAAAGGGAGACGTCGGTAAGGACAAGGCGAAGGAGGTCTGTGTCCTCTGATCGTAAATCTAGGTCTAAGTCGGTTGATAAAAGAGAGACTTCAGTCAGGGCAAAAAGGAAACGTTCTAAGTCCTCTGATCGCAAATCTAGGTCCAGATCTGTTGAGAATGGAGATGCTTCAGCAAGGTCAAAAAGGAGACGATCCAAGTCTACTGATCATAAGTCTAGAACAAAATCTGTTGATAAAATAGAGTCATCTTCAAGGTCTAGACACAGAAGATCAAAGTCATCAGATCGTCGAATGTCTAAATCAAAATCTAGATCTAAATCTTCTGAAAGAAAAGACAAGGACTCTTTAGATGGGTCAAGAGGGAAACACTCCAAATACAGATCAAAGTCTAAATCTCTTGAAAAAACAGAGGGAACTGAATCTTTGGAAGTACCTATGCGCAATCGCACAAAGTCTCCTGAAAAACAGAAATCTAAATCTAGGTCTAGGTCCAAATCTGTAGATAAAACAAGAGAGAAAGAGAATTTACGACGATCAAGGAGTAAAGGCTCTAAGTCTCCAGAGCCCAGATCTCGTAGGCGTAGAACAGTTTCTCGATCTCGAAGGAATCGTTCTCGGTCTCGGAAGAGGGGATCAAGATCAAAGTCTGTTCAGAGATCAAGAACACGCTCACGATCTCGCTCACGATCATGTTCAAGACGCTGGAGGAGGACTAGGTCAAGATCATTGTCAAGACAGCGGTCTTTATCAAGGGAAAGGCGTAGGAGATCTCGGAGAAACCGATCCAGGTCTACTGACAGAAGAAGGAGAAGATCTGATTCAAGAGACAGTTATAGAATATCTCTCAGATTACGATCCCGAAGTCGAACACCTGCCCGTCTCAGGTGCTCTAGATCTACAGGGAGAAGAAGGAGTGCTAGTAAATCACCTGATCATCGTAGATCCAGATCTTCAAGCAGGTCACCTAAGCGTCTGACTGACTTAGGTAATTAATCTTAGTATGTTTTAAACATGTTTCTCCCTTTTCCCCCTTCCAGTAGATCAAGGTAAAAGATTTCTAAAATACTGTCCTTTAATGAGTTAGTCTGGCCTTGCAGTACAGACTGAATAATACTAAAGGTGTTAAAACGTAGCATCTATCAAAGGAACACTCCCTCTGATTTGTGGAGTGAGCTCTTGCCCATGTCAGGATTGCATTCCAAATAGAATCAGTCTCTTCCTTTCCCTTCCAAAGGTGAGCTGGCTCCATTCTTAGGGAGTTTTGTACTGTTTGTAGGCTAGATGGGGATTGCCAGGAGTTAATTGGTCTGTTCATTTGACTTAAAGATGAACCACTGGTTGATGAATTCACAACCCTCAAAGCCTACTTTTTCTAAAATGTCTTCCCCCAAACCAGAGGTGGTCTGCTTTTCATCAGCCATGTGGTTAATCTTGCCAATTAACTTCAGCACCTCAGTAACACTTTCCAGCTGCTTTTGTATTACTCACCTTCAGAGCCTGAGCTTTCTAGCTTAGAAAGCTGTACTTTGATGAAAGTGGGCCCAGTACTTAGAACTATTGCTTTTAGTATACCTAAAGTATATTAACAAAATTCATGTCTTGATTTTTCAGGATTCATTTAAATTCCTTTATTTTAGACAATTCATTTAAGTTCTACTGATCCCAACTAATTTTTAAATAAAACATTTCTGTATGTTATGTTGTACATAAAGTTAAAAAAAACTAATAACACTGCAGGCGAAATGCCTGCTAGAAAAGAAATGTCTTCATGTAGCAGCAGATGGCCATGGGGGTGGGAGGAGTGAGATGGCTTCTCTGGCAACAAGTTTCAAAGTTTAGGTATGGTCTTCTCTCAATCTTATATAGCTTTAATGTTGGATTGGGTTTGGAGGATTGCTTGAACAGGAGATCTCAAAGACTAGGTAAACTTGTATGGAAGAAGTTTGTCCCTTAACTATCCTTGTTCTAAATATAGTTTAGGGAAAACCCACTGAAACTGATCATTGCCTTTAGTACTTAAAATGTATTAGTGTTCTTTGCAACAGATATATGTGAGTTCTGTACGGCTGTAGAACTTGCATTTCCAAGTTCTAAAACTAGCACTGAATGCCAACTAAAGTTCTGTAGCCATTTGTCTTATGTGCTCTTTAATACTAATATTTACCTTTTAATATTACTGTAGACAAGGCACAGCTACTTGAAATAGCCAAAGCAAATGCAGCTGCCATGTGTGCTAAGGCAGGTGTTCCTTTGCTACCAAGTCTTATGCCTGTAATAACTCCAGAAAAGAAGGAAGAGAAAGTTACCCAAAAGTCAGCAAAAGAGACAATATTGGAACTCACTGAGGTAAGAGGGAGAAAATTAAACATGCATATGAAACTAAAACAACTATTTCTAATTCAGCAAAAAATGTTTTCTGCAGTATTTATCCTTCATGATTGTAAAACCCATTTGTAAAATTTCAGATTTCTAGATAATTTATGTAAGGTGGATATTATGCCTTTGAAATGGAATATAGTTTGCAACTATATTATTTCAGTTATCTGATGAGAGTTATAAAATCACTTTAGACTGTATGGGATGAATTTATTTTATTTAAAACTATTTTAGGACTCTTTTCATGGTAAAAACCATTGTTTCTATTTATGCTAGAAGATGTATTTGTTTCCCCAGGAATTTCAGGATTAGTACGACCTAATTGTTGTGAACTGCTTTTGTGGTGTCCATTCTAGACTGTAAGATGCAGCAATTTTGTGGATACAGTTATCATACTGTATTGTTTTTACATTATTTGATGGTATTTATTGTCAGTTTTTATTGACAGTTAAAGTTTACTGATCTTGGGGAAGTTATCTTCCAGTTATTTCAATCATGCATTTTTGTATTGCATGTGTAAAATGCTGTGGGGAGTGACTTCTTTGCAGTGGGAAGTGAATACATTTTCATAATAATAATAGAAATAAACCAGACTGCTCTGAAGTAAATACTGCTTGGCTGACATTTGGCTTTCTACCTTCCACATGGACTTCATGGCAATTTTGTTGTATTGGGATCATGGCTCTCTGGCTATAGTTGGCTGACTGTGCCAGCTCTGATCTTGCATATAGTGCTGTTGTCAGGCCATTGCTGTTAAACTCTCATAATGGTCAATATTTGGAAATTGCCATTATATTGCTCAACCTTTTGCATTATGTTCATTCACCTTCACATGTAATGGGATCTTTGTTGATTTGGGGTTTTTTTTTTTTAGAAATGCAAGAAGATTGCACAAAGCCAGGAAGATGATGTGATTGTGAATAAACCTCATGTGTCTGATGAAGAGGAAGAAGAGCATCCATTTATTAATCATCCCTTTAAACTCAATGAGCCCAAACCTATTTTTTTCAACCTAACAGTAAGTAATATAAAAGTAGAACATGTAGGTATATTTTTCTTTTTATACATAATACTACAGAAAATACAATTTGACAGCTAGAATAATAGTAGTCTATTATTATTCTACAAACTTAATTCTTTTAAGTTAACCCTATTTATTGCAGAGAAGTATTAAGTTTCAGCCATTCATTAAAGATGTAGTAGTTAATCCCTTAGATATACTTTCAGTATTCTGGATATGGCTTCTGAAGCTGTATTGAAATGTTAAAAAATCCTAAAATAGAGATAATCAGTGGAAAGATACTGGGTACATAAGCAAGGGTCATTACCTCTGTAGATGCTGTAATATAGAGGTTTCCAGTCTTTTGGGATGTATCCTGGAATGTGAGAAACTGCTGTTTTCACCATCACAAAATGTCTGATCAGTTTTGGTATTTGCCAGTCACATGTATACATCTGTCACATCTATAATCCGCAAGAAAGTGGGCTTTGTGTCTAATTCAGCCAACAGCTGGTGATACAATACAGTGAATGCTTCAGGTTTTGCCATGTTTGGAAATTGTTTCTTTTCAGGAAGAGCTTATTACACAGATGAATTTTGTATTGGAACAGTGCACTGATGTACAGTTAAGTTATTTACCTGCTTTGGGGAAATTAGCAAATAGGAGGAGAAATGGATTATGTGTACTCTTTTGACAGCTAAAAGGCTGATACTATTAACTAGGGATGTTTGAAAATCAGTTTGGTGGGGATTCATCAGATTCCTTGGGCTTTCCTCCCCAGACTCCAGTCTGCTTTACAGTAGCCCTGAACCCAAGTTCCTGGTGAATGCTCCAAGCATTTGCACACTGCTCCCCAGGAATCAACTCTCATGCTCTGCACAAGCAGTGCTCCTCTTCCATACCTTGTGTTGGTACCACTGTTGCACCTGGTATGGAAGAAAGTTGGTTGCTGGGGATAGTACCGCTTGCAGTACCTTTCTTTCACATCCTACAGCCAGCTGTACCTGACAAGGAAGGTTCCGAACAGAGGTCTCCCAGCATTTATGGACTTCCTCCAGGCTCAGCTTGCTTGCTCTATGGAAGCTAGAGGGGTAGATTCTGAAAGGGTTTGTTTAAACCCTAACTATAATGTTGGAAAGATAACCACCTCCTGTAATTATTTTTACATTTCTATACAGGGCAGGAGCCCACTCAAGGTAGTATATAACAGTGCAATGCAAGTAATAAAATTCATATAAAACTGATACGTTAATACAACTAATGTTTCAAAAAATAAATAAACCAAGCACCAGCAATTAGACAAAACCTGCAATACAATTTCGACTACAGTCCAGCCTGATAGAACGTATTTGGTGTAAGGTCAGAATTTAACAAGGATGTTTTCAGGGCTTTCTTTAAAGCCCATGATAATGAGGTCTGTTGTGTCCCTGATGGAACAACACCTTCCACGCCACATGCAACTTATTCCAAAGGTGTGGGGCTACTGTGGAAGAAGCCCCCTCTCATGTATTTACTTACCTGATGTCCCATCTGAGTTAGTGGGAAGGGCCTCTCTTACTGATCTTAAATTGTAGACAGGCTGATATGGGTAAAGGCAGCCCTTGAAGAAATTTGAGCTGAAACCATCCTCTTGTTTTGATTCAGCCTGTATGTTAAAATACAAAATTGGCCTGTGGATGATGTAATCATAGAGTAATTTAAAACTGTTTTCAGATAAGTGAAAATAGCATGATGAAATTCTAGGAATCCTGAATTTAGAATCATTGGGTATATGAGGAATTGTTGCTGGTTAATAGACCTTGGACTTGTGCATTTAAGTGCTGTACAATTTCAAAGGCTTATTTTCATTTTGTAAAATCAGATGACGGATCTATAAGAGATGGACAGATCTGTAAGAAACTGTTGAGTATCATTATTTCAGATGTGCTGGCTGAATCCAAGCATACCTAATCAAAATACCTTTTGCTTTATAATCCAGAAATGATTAGTGGTAGAAGATGACTGTCTGTCTATTAAATTGTGTTATAATGTGGCCAAGGTTTACCTGTACAAGATGATGGTATAAAGATGAAAAACCATCTGGAGGGTCCAGCAACCCTCTGTAGCAAAATTTGAGGACATGCAGGGAAATTGTTCTAGCATTCTAGTTTTGCTGAGGGAAGTAGTTCCACTTCCAGAAAAATATGATTTCCATTGATGAAAGCCCAATCAAAATAATTTTCTTGAGTGTTGTGACCTTAAGTTCAGAAACTGTTTAGTTTTTTGCACAATGCTGAGATTTTTGTATGGGACAGGATAAAAATGTTCCAAATAAATAAACTGTGGTACAGATTTTAATATTCATCTGTGCATGTTTTGTATGGATTACTGAACACAAAACGTACATCCTTATAGATTATTATTTGTAATTGTAATACCTTTTTTTTTTACCCTTTAAGACACCTACCATAAAGCCAGCACCTCCAAAGACTCAGGTTACTTTGACAAAAGAATTTCCTGTGTCTTCTGGATCTCAACACAGGAAAAAAGAAGCTGATAGTGCATATGGAGAATGGGTTCCTGTTGAGAAGAACAAGGATGAGAATAAGGATGATGTGTTCCCCAACCCAGCCAATCTGGAGGTATAAAATAAAAAGGGCTTAATGTGTTGCTATAAAGATGTTCACTTGGAAGAAAGCAGTGCTAGCAGCTATGAATGTTTAAGAGGCAATGTGTAGAATTTAGGCTTCAGTCCAGAAAGCATGTAGAGGCCTGTTCAGGACTGGCAACAGACGGCATTCTGACTCAGCTCCAGCACATCTCTGTGCTGTGCTTCAAACTGTTTTGGAGCTTCCCATATTCCAAACTGGTTTGCCAGACAATGCTTGTCACAGTTGTTAAATGAAGAAAAACTAAATGATCTTTTTTGCATGTAGAAGTTATTACCTGCCCTTCTGAACTGCAGTCTTGAGCTTAAATAAAGGTCTAAACAAATCAAGTTCAAAGGAGCTTGAATTAACACTGCTGCAGTCTCATGCTGTATTGGTGCACCTGATGCCAGAGATTCTGCTATTGGAACTTAGTGTCTGGTGTCCTGATTCTGGTGCTGTACTGGTGTTCAGTAGTGCTTACTGTAGCAGCAGTAAAGATAAAGCTAATCTAACCCTAACCCTTGATCATGTCATGTAATTGTGCTGATTGTTACTTGGCTGTGTTTTAATGGGGATGGTTTCAGTTTGCTTTTATAGCTACTAAATTGTTCATTTTAGTAAAAGAATACACTCAGCACCTTAGCACAGTTTTAAAGTACTAAATATTTATTAGGAAAAGTGGTGTGTATGTATATTTGTATGTGGGAGGGGAGATGTATATTGTAAGGACCTTGGATTTTTTTTGTTCATTTTGTTTCCTGAACACACAACCATACTACCTTCTGTAGTTCGATCCCTGTAAGCTTTCCAGGGACTGCATCTTGTCTCTGTGTGAGGACACACTGAAACCATGTTAGATCATCCCAGCTAAAGGCTAGGGAACAGTATTTGCTATCACTGCAACTTGGTTAGTAAGTGCAGCTTGTTACTCCCCATCTGCCATACAAATGAATGGTGGTTGTTCACAATTGACTTCACTGAGGAATGGACTAAATATTTTCTCTGGCTCTGTCCATTCTAGTAAACCAGTCATGCCTTTCTAGGTTAGTCAGGGCAGGGAGTCCACATCTCAGTGGTATTCCTGAGTGTGCAGTCCTTCCATTTCTTCAGGTAGATGTAATTCCTGTATATAGGGTGGTACTACCTTCTACACCATCTAGTATTGTCCTACTTTTGGGGTTTTTTGGTCATGCTAGTGTGTGTTAAAATATCAGAAATTGCCTTTTACACACACAAATAGTTCTATTCAACTAGAAACAGATACACTGTCTTAGGGATGCAAATTTTCAAAACAGATTATCTCTATATTACTTTCTAGCCTGTTGACATCTCATCAGCACTGAATGAGAGGCAAATAGCCCAGAAAAGACTTACAGAAAATACATTTGATTTGGAGGCAATGTGTTTGTTAAACCGTGCACAGGAACGGGTAAGTCATAACCTCTTACTTTTTTCTTTGCAAGGTGCTTCTTGAAATGTGATACCTGAAAGTACATAGTGCTTTCTGAAATGGTTACATTTGGATGCAAATCTTGGACCATATTAATTTTTGAGTTCTTGTGTTTTTAAGGTCTGAGATTTTAAATCTAAATTTAGATCTCTTTTGCACAAGACTAGAAAGAACCAAGTTGACTTTCATACTGAGATTTCCAGATTTAAAATTGAATATGAATGCTACAGTGTCTTTTAAACTAGAGTAGTAACACAATCCTAATGAAGTTATGCTCTGGTATAAATTTGTTGATGCTTTAGAAAGGCATGCTTCTAGGTACCTGAAGGTTTTGGGGAAATGAATGAATAACATTAATAGTAGAAGTAGTGGTAGCCAGTGAAGACTTTCTCAGAATGTTTAACTTATTTCAAAATGAAAATTACACAGTATGTGGTGCTGCCACAAAGAAAATTATTTATATTTAGTTACTTAATAACTTACTAATTCATTATATTATGCTTATGATTGCAGATTGATGCCTGGGCTGAGCTGAATTCTATACCGGGCCATTTTACAGGAAGTACTGGAGTGCAGGTGTTGTCTTCAGAACAGTTATCCAACAGCGGCCCCCAGGCTTGGGTTAAAAAGGTAGATGATATTCAGACAGATGAGTCCAAATGTCACATGTTAAATTCCTTTGAAATCACTGGAAGAAGTGATAGTGATACACATAGGACATTAATAACTTCTTAAAATACATGTAGAAAGTAAACTGAGTTGATTTATTTTGTGTTCTGTCAAGATGCGTTTGCACTCTTGCTTTGGAATCTGTATCTACTATGCCTAATTAGCTCTGTGTTAATAGTGGTTTTGGTAGGTTAACTGTAGAAACTGGGAGAATGATCAATGATCACTGAAGAGTTGTATTTATTACTCCCGTGGTTACTGTTATCTTGTGCTGAAATTGTCCTGAAATGTGGGTGCAGTTGAATTGGAGAAGTTCTGTCACCTTGTCAGAGTTAAGTAAAATTTCATTACATTTTTTGACAAGGAGTTCAATAAGTGGTTAACAGGACTGTAAAAATCCACTTGCTTGTTTCTATTGAACATGTCTTTGAAATGAGAAGGTGAAAATGGCAGTAGAAGTTATATTGCCATGGTTGTGGTCTGCAGCTTTTTACCCCATTTCATAATGAGGTAGGCAGGGTTGTTAACTTCTGCCTTTTTGAGAGAGAGGGGAGGGGGAAGCAACCTGAATCCTCTCCCTTACCTGATCTAGTAGCACCATTTGGAAGCATTGGACTTGCCTGCTCAGCTCTTAGGGGAGAGAAAGATTTATTCTAGGATTTCCTGTTTTGTGGGATGCTGTGGGTAAGATGTCAGTTTTTCTTCTTAAGCTTGAGGGAAAAGAATGCAGACAGATGAATATGAATAAATCTTTGAAGGGAACCACATTGCATGTGTTAGTGGAATGAGGGCAGAGGACCAGCAGAACATATAGGAGCCTAGTTCAAATTCATCAGCGACTGAGGCAAACATAGAAGACGAAAATAAATAAAGTTTGGATGCTTTGGTAACCGCTGAAATTTACAAGGCAAGTCCTAACCTGTTTTCAGAAATTGGAGTGTACAGGATGACTCTAAGGAGGAAACCCCAAAGGAGCCTTGAGCTTCTATTTCGAGATTGATATGATGCAGTTAGGTTTGAGAATTGACTGAACTGGAGAAATTAGAAGAATCCTAGGTTCTGTGCTTGGCAAGTATATTTTTACAGTCTTGATAAATGATTTTTCATATTTCCCTGTGCAAACTCATTTGTAGGAATTAAGTGTAACTAATTGGTTTTTACATAGCACTAATTTTGAAGTAAGCTGGTTTATAAAGAGTGTTGTAATTCAGTCAATATAAGCACTTAGATGCAGTAACCAAAGAGTTTTATAACTGTTCTGTTGATAAAATCTATTATACACTTTTACACTTTTGTAATTAAAATATATGGGGAATATTGTAAATATATGTAAATATTATTTACTAAACAGGTTTTCTTTGTGGGGAAGCAGTGGTAATGAATGACAGCAACTATTTTAACAAAAGGTTTTGCTGAAGCTTCCATTGTATGTTTGTTTTTCATCACCCATGTGCAGTTCACAAAAAAGCCCATACTTTATATATTTTAATTGGCAGTGTACTCTTCAGGCTCATCCCAAGTATTTTTAATAAAATCTGAGAAGGCTGAGCAAGTGGTTCTTGAATCATGACATCTTAAATAAGACTCCACACATAAGACTGTATTTTTCCCATTGTAGCAAGAAACATGACTGGCACATCTGAGAGGCAGTTAACACTCCATGGTCAGTTAATTGGACCTTTCCAGCTGCTTCACATTGTTGTAGACTGGCCAAGGACTGATCAAGTAACCATTGTTTAGAGAAGCTGGAAGCTTTGACATCTAATATTTAGTGCAGGGTAGCTGTTCGTGCCATCTGACAGCAATACCATTAGGGCATTTTTGACCTCATTCCCTTAAAGACAGAATGGGCTGCCCCTTGACTTCTGTAGGCCATATGTTTTCATCAGTTCTCCTGTAATATAATGATCTTCCGATATTTGTAATGCTGTCATCCTAGAAGTCACAGGTGTGTCAGGTGGTGTGTAGGCAACAGTGGTTTTCTAAGTTATGCCTAATTTTTAACCCTATAGTCACCAGTACATTTGAGTTGTTGAGCATTGTGGGGCCTAGATTATGAGGTATAGGGCTGCCGAGAGTAGGTAGAGTTCTGTCGGAATTTTTTCATAATGGTAGTTTGCTGAATATAAGTATTGGTGGTGAGGTTCTATTCTGTGTATTCCCTAAGTTTATATAATGGGATTTGTACTTCTTGAGATACCAAAGAACTGTTGTATAGACAGGTACCCTCCTGGGATCTGTGGAGTTTGACTGCTGTGCTTTTACTGTCTTTCCAACAGTTGTCTCTGTAAGTTTCCATGCATTCAGAATGCTTCTGAATCTCTGAGATGGGTTTAATAGATCCTAGAGTGGGCTCTCTTCTGGTAATGCTTATAGGGTTTCCAACAGGCAAATCAGAGAAAGCTTTGAAAACTATTTCTTTTAAATTTTCTTGAATATATATTATCAAGGTCTTCATCTTTCTTGCTTTCATCTGGAAATTTCAAATTGTACTGCTTGGAGAAGTATGCCCCTTTCCTATTCAAAACTTTAGATGAGTGCGAAAAGTAAGAAAGTTGTCAAATGTAGGAGTAGAGCAAGTGTTTCTGTTTTTTATAGGTTAGAATTCCTGGATGAAAAGGTTTTTCTTGAGCACTTTTGGATTTAGTTGACTTAGTGCACAATTCAATGCATGTTCAGACAGAAAAGGGTTCTTCAGCTCCCAGCATCTGCTAACAAAGTCTGGCTGGGGTATCTTGGAGTTGTAGGATTTTAAACTGTTTAAAACATGCATCAGACTGAACGGTTAACCTAAGCTAGTAAGCATTCTTCCTTGGGAATAAGTCCTATTGAACTCAGTGGAAAATGCTTCCAAGTTAAAATGGATATGATTAGATTGTTAATTTCCTTTAAAGTGAAACCATAAGAATCATACTATTTCACCATTATCCAATGTAAAAGAATTTTGCTATTTATTTTCTCTGAGCTCAGAAAATTGGGTGCTGTTATAGGTATTATACTACTTTGACTTTTGAATTGATCAGGGAACCCAAAATGGAATTGGTGATTTGTTAAGTGAAATATGACATCTACATTGAAAAGTTCTAATTTTGTTTTAAAAACTATTAATATACTTCTTACTATAGGAAGGATGCCACTTTTAAAAAAAACAAACAGTGGCAATTAGTGTTGGGTTTTGTTTTCATATGTTTGACTAATAGTATTGTATTTTAAATGTTGGGGTATTAAGTTGTTGAACTTAAAAGTTCAGCTTCAGTTAGAAATTATTTCTGTTTTGCATTATCATCAGTGATGTAATCAGTTCACAAATGCAAAAATATTAAACTCTTCATAGAATATGTGCAACACATTTATTCCTTCCTTTTAGGCTTCTTTATTTATTCATTCAAGATAAAGCACCAGGGGCTCATGGCAGTGGGAAAGGGTGTAGTAAAATACGTAGGTCTGGATTTGAAGAACTGCACAACTATGTACTAATGTACGCAGGGAAGGTCTGATTTTGGAAAGGCAGCCCATCTTTAGCTCTGGGAATTACTTTCTTGTATGTGGGTTTAGGATTGCAGTCTCATTTAGATTTTTTTCAGCAGTGCTTCTTACATTCTGTTGACAAAACTGATTTTCCAACATATAATAGGTTTTTGTGTTTGTAAGATTGGCTTTCACATCTATAATTTGTAGATATGCTCGTACAGTGTACCAATGCAAAAAGAGAGAAAGCTATGTGTACTTCAAGATATGAAAAGTTTCTACTCTCCTGTTTGCCAATTGAAATAATTTTTTAAAAAGTTATTTCACATCCTTAGCAAAGGAGAGTTGGCTAAACAGGCTGTCTTTGGAAGGAGGAATAGCTCTTCAATGCATGAGCATGGTCACTACATTGTAAGCTGAGTAGAAGGTGAACAGCTGAGAGCAGTTGTGTGCTTGAGTTCCTTGGATGTTCTGAAAGCTTTGCTTCTCTGAAGCTTTCCCTGTCCCAGCACTGTGTCCCCCTTCAGGACCTAGAGTTCATCTGGAGGGCCTGGCTGCTGATCTTACATGATTGCTCCAATGAACAGGAATGCTGCTGCTGCGTGTGCCCTGATGAAAAACTTAAAAGAGAAAGGGTAGTGTTTCATTTTTGTTGGACTATAATAATGCTGTTCCCTTACTTCAGAAATCAGTGACTGCCAATATTAATGTGTCCTGAGAGCAATGCAAGATCCTCCAACAAAGTAAGCATTTCCTGGAAACAATAAACAAGGGAATTGAGGGAGGGGGAAGGCATTTTCATTTCTCTTTAGGAGCTTTGTAGGGTTTTTAAAGTTTAGCAAAGATCAGAATATTGTTTTGCTAAATTATGGACTTTCTCAAGAGGCTTAAATTGCTAGTTTTCTGATACTTTTGTGGTATCATCTATATTCATGTTACTGGAAACTACCTATTTACCACACCTGCACATTAAAATCAGGTGAGGATACATTATGTTTGTGATTTCATCTGAAGGCTGAATGTTTCCCATCACAGAAATAATCTGCTTTGCGTGGGTTATACTTTTTAATGGCATGACTGTTTCTTCAGTATAATTCTACACACCCATATCCTAAAATGCAGCATCAACTGGGCAAGAACATTCAACATTCCAGCATTTTTTTAGAAGTTAGGTTTCTGCTGTGGTGATTGCAGAAAACAACTTGGAAAATTGGATCCTGCTTTGGAAGCACATTTACCAGAGAGGAGTTGGGTATGGTTTCTAGTGATCAGGAAGTAGGATGCTGAGTAAACAGTTGTAACTGTAAGCGTACAAGAAGTGCTATTTGGGTGTATTGCCCAGCCTCATTTTTCTCCTTCTACCTTTGTTCCTTTGCCAAGGTGCTTGGTGACTTCTGATGCTTCACAGCTTCTAGTATAGTTACAGAGGGAACTCTGGCAGCTTAATGTCACCCTCCCATGTTCACCCACCATCTTACCATGCTTGTGTCCATTTAGAGGAAATCAAAGAGACCAGTAAATTTGTGGCTGGGAAAGAAACTATTTACATAAAGCCACAAGAGCTCTTGTTGGCTGTATATAGCAAACATTGACTTGGCTCAGAAGAGATTCCTCCAAATCACCAGTATAAGTAAAGTTTAATTTCTGAAATAATTACAAACTTTGTAAACACTATCAGTGGCAGACATGGTCTGCTCACTGTAGTCCATTCTGTGTTTTTCTTATAGGTATTCAGCTTTGCACCCAGGATTGGGTATTCTTGGAGTTCCCATTTGTGTGGGCTTTTCTTGTGACATTGAATGAATCTGGTAAATTGTCATTTCTTACCTCTTTGGTTTCTAACTCTTTTTGTGCCGGTTCAGATATCACAGTGGACTTTTTTTGTGTCAGTGTTGATTCTTTTTCCTACCTGGAAGTTCTTGCTACTAGATGTATGTTAGATAGTTAACTTGTCCTGTAAACTGAGCATGGGCTAATTGACCTTCACAAACATATCACAAGGAAGAAATGATTTAGCTTCATCTTCTGACAAGACACCTACAACTTCACTAGACTTGAAAGGAGTTTTGAGGATTCTCAGTTGAAAAAATTACCATAGCAGCAACATAGTGAATATCAGAATAGGAACATATGAATGTCATTGGACAACTAATGAAGTTAAGTGGAAAAGTTTCCCTATTTATAGTGTAGTCTTTCTATTAAAGATTTCTTCATTAGTCTTTGCTGATAAATTACACTCAATTTGCTGGCCTTGCTTATAGCAACTCACTTGAATTGTTTACTTTAGTTAAAACTAATTGCGTTTTAATGTAGCGCTGTATCTCTGCTACATACTAGTAGTATTTTTGTTTGAATTCTTGCTATGCAAGAGAGACTTTCCTAGAGTCACACTGTGATTTACTGTCCAAAAGGAATTATTTGTCATTTGAAGTACTTGTTCAGTTTCGAGACAGTGCTTGCTGAGCTTTGTAAACAAAGGACAAACATTACACTTGCATATGAACTTGTCAATCTTAAATTACTCCTCTGTTGGCAGTTACCATGTATAATTCACCAGCTAGATATATTGAAATGAATTCTTTGTTTCTTACATGCCACTGCTGATAGTGTTCTGAAATAATTTGTGGCGCTATAAAGGTTAGCTGACTGCTCAGTAACAAGTAAATAAAACCAGCTGTGTTCACTATGCTGCATTTGACAAGGAGTTGTGAAATGCAATCCAGCAAAGTGAGGCATGCTTAAGTCTCAAATTACAGTTCCAACATATGTCTGCTCATAATCAGGTTCAGTTGAGTTCACTGGAGCTTATTCGCATGTGAATGGATCAAGGATTGCAGCCTTAAACCCTATTTTCAGTTGGACACATGATTTTCTTTGGATGCCATTATAAAAAATTAGAACTGAGGGTAGTCACTAGATGGAGCTGGTATGTCTAACCTGTCAAGTCAATTAGGAAAAGAGATGCCATGTTAACAGAGATGCTCTTTAGAGCTTAAGCACATTTCAGAACTATTTAAGACTCTGATATCTTTAAGTTTAGCATATATTACTTAATATTAAAAAATACATCCCACATTTCCAGATAAAATGCCCATTCAAGATTTAATGGACTCTCTTGTTTGTAAACCTGAAGAGGCTATTATTCTCTCCCCTAAAACAAAAACTAATTTTGGAAAATTAGTTATAGAAAATTCCTGCAGACTTCAAAAGACCTTGTGGAAGAGTTGGTCTGTGTTGTCTTTGTGAACTGGATACACATTGGTGATGAAACAGACATTGTTGATGAACATTCTATCATTACAAAGCAGGTACAAAAGAGGAGTCGGAGCCCTGGGTGACATTGACTGGGGTTTGTATCATTCTCTGCATGGTTGCCCTTTTCTAATGAGAGGTTCCTGGAAAGGAGAGGGGAGGATGAAAATGGAAGTAAGTAAAAGCCATTCTAGGTGTATCAACTCAAAGCAGTTGGTAACTGGCATCAGCTAACATGTCTCTTGTGTACACAAACTGCATGGCTTGCACCAGTCAATACATCTTGGTGAGAGAGGTAATGTCCGCCTCAGATCAGTCTTTCCTTACATCAAAACACCTTTCCAAAGTAATGTCCAGTTGCATGATATGCAATCATCTGTTTAGTTGTAGCATAGGGGCATATTGATTACTTAAAGGAACTCATCTTACACTTGTTCTATCAACATGACTATTAGGTTTTTTTTTATCAGGAAATGAGGTTTCATATTATCTTGGGTATGTGACATTGTGAAGAAGAGCAAGTCTCTTTGCTTTCACAATCATATTTTCAAGAATTGAAAATGAAAGCAAAACAGGCTGAAAGAAAAGAAATGGCTGATTCTTGTATTTTTGATACAGGAATATTAAGCACTGTGCCTTTTAAAAGACAACATGCAAATTTATTGTGCTAAGGCTAACACTGTATAACTTTAACAAAAGCAGTTTGCCACATTGGGTCATTGGGTGGGGCAGAAAAGAGAGATGATTGTTCACAGAATAGTCTGTGAACTTTCACCCCTCTATATGGAAACTTGTTTCAGGGCCAAATCTGCCTTGTAGCTGCCTTCTTGCCACGGTCAATGCCAGCCCTACTATTCACAACCCTGCGGCCATCGAGGCCTAGGTACGTAAACGTTTAAGGAGTTTTTAAAGTACTGTAAAGCAAAGAGAATGTATTAGAAAATGTGATAATCTTACATCAATAGAATGCCTCTTGTGGTTATTTGGAACAACATTCCTTATGCTACTGTTGAATTGTGCGGCTAACTTCTTATTATGATTATTAAAGACTTGATTGTATTATGCACAGGGATTTTCAGTGGGCAAAGGTATATAGTTTGTGTATAAAGTGGAGAAAATTGTTTTTGTATGCCTAAATAACTTCTGAAATTTCCATTTGTATATACTTGCACTTTATTCAGTAACTAGGTATAAATGACACAAATGTTGCCAGTTAAAAACATTTACTACTACCTCTTTCCACAAGATGATAAAAGATACACTGGAAGTACCGTAGTATATTTTAAATCTGTAAATATAAATATGTAAGCAGTGACTTATTTACATTTTGGGGTTTCAGCCTTTAATTAAAGATAAAAATAAGCATCTAACTCAAAATCTGTTTGAAAGTGGAAAGGATATGCATGTATTGATTTCAGTTGCTTGCGAAATGTTGGAAACAGTAGGGAGTTCTCTATTTTTCTTAAGGGAGTGCTAAATGAAGTGTTTCTCTTTACTTTTTTTTCTTTGGGTAGGATCAATTTCTCAGAGCTGCCCCTGTATCTGGAGGAATGGGAGCCCAATTAATGAGAAAAATGGGATGGAGAGAAGGAGAAGGTTTGGGCAAAAATAAAGAAGGAAATAAGGAGCCTATTCTGGTTGATTTTAAGACAGATCGGAAGGGTGAGTCTTTTTCTTGAGATTGACGGGTCTATGCTACTTTACCGCATGTGGGCATCCCAACTTTGCAAGTCAGGATTGTTGTTCCAGATGGAAATCCTTTGTGAACCAGGAGGATTTTGAAGAATGAGAACTCCTGCATTGAGCAACTTTAACAGTTAGAGCACACAATGCATCAGTCTAATTGATAATGCTGTTGCTGTTGATTACCTGTTCATATTAATTGGGAAATTTTTCAGGCATAGTTGCATGAAGATACCACAAATAATTAGGTTGTTTGTCTGTAATGAACCCATTAGTTTAAAAACTGATGGGTTGCCAAGGATAAGTAAGGGAATGCATGTAGTTCCCCATGTTTCATTCAGCAAGCACAGAATCCTTTTTGTTAAATGCAAATCAGGTCAGTGTGATATGCATGAAACATTTATGTACCTAGGCTGTTAATTTTCTGGTATGGAAGGAGCCATCGTGGACTGCTTTGAGTTTGGAAGACTGTAGAATGCTTTTCTTTTCACAGATTATAAACAGGAACAAATTCCCTTTTCTTAAAGAAGGAGAGCACTACTTGCTTTCTTCTTGACTGAGTAACCTAGAAATCACAGTATCAAAGGAGTTCTTCCAGAGTTTTGATAATGACTCCTTTATATTGCACTCTTTCTAGTGTCTTTCCAGAACAAGTTTTCTGAGCATTTAATGTCTAGATTGATTTGAGCAGGCATGTGCACATTTTATATATAAAGTTGATGTTCACTAATACCACTACTTGTGTTAAGACCAAATACGAAACCTCAAGCCGCACGAGCTTAATGTGGGATGGGAAGGTGAAAAATTACAACCAGTTAGTTGGCAGGTAAAACACAACATTTCTGGGCTCTTTTTACACTGAAGATTGGATCCTGAGTTGCTGTTCGGTGAATGGAACAGATTCCGTCTAACGGAGGCTTCTGGTGATAGAAACTGAGGAGAGGCTACTGTTCAGCAATTCTATATGTAGCTCTTAGGGCCATCTCTGCTGCTTTGGGGGATGCTCTGTTTTGTTTTGGTTTTGAAGGCATAGAGGACTGCAAGTCAGTAAATCTCCCATTCCACTCTGGGAAGTATCCAGCAAGCAGTATTTCCACCTTCATGAGAAGTTAACATCCAAGGCACTGTAGATAACTCCAGTGAAGCAGACATAATTAGGTTGCGCTGTAGCTTCATCAGTGTGAGTTTCTTAGTGTACTGTTGCAGGTATACTCATCTGTTTAACACCAGTTAGTCTGTTAATTTTTTCTGTTTTTTGTATTATGAAATGTTGATAGAAGATGCACATAAATTTCGGTATAAGGATGGGTCTATTAATCCATAAGGTAAAAGTTTGTTCTCTAGCTACCTACATTGTCTTTGGTACGCAGTTACGTAAAAATATAGGGGGAAAACCCCACTTGCTCTAGTGGTGAAGAAATTAAAAACTTGTATATACATGACACAGCTTTCAGATTGCACAGTGTATATTCATTGCTGAATTGGTATAGTTGCCCCATAGCATAAATTTTAAGGCACATATGTTATCTGGATTATTCTTATAAATTCCTTGCATCTTGGATAGCAATCAATTTGGCTAGGCTGGAGCAGTTACTTAAGAGAAAGATGCTATTGAAAATGGGAAAACCCTTACTAAGTTAATGTCTGGGGACTTGGCATTTTGTAATGAGAAATATGTATTGTCATCCTACTCTTGTTTTCTTTCTTGCACATATATCTTTGTCTCTTCCAAAATATTGATTGAGTCTGAAGCAATGCCACCTGGTTGTTTAAAAGCATATATTGAATCATATGTCACAACTGAATATGCAAACTAAAGATCTAAGCATAAGTATTGATAGGTAAAGTATATATCCACTGATTTCAGACATTTTGGAAGTTTTCCTGTCGTTTCATATATTACCCAAGTCCTGAGTTAATTTTTCAAAAACAGTGCTTGAGCAAATATAATAGTTTCCTCCACCAAATGGCTGAATTTATATTAATATGTTAATCCTATATTTTAAACAGAGAATATTTGTTACTGGTTAGAAGAAATATGTAATTGCTAAGGTCTTATTTGGGATGGATGTCATCTGGACATGCCAGTACCCTATGTTATGATTGATTTATTCTTTAACCGGTTTACTACCATGCACACAAAGCAAATGTTTGAGCCTTTCTAATAATTTCATAATGTTAAATGGTATCTCACATTCTTCTTGGTAAAGTTTGATTCAGTGTAAAAATGACAGCTGCAGTAAAAACACAAAATTGCACCTTTTGTGTTTATAAAGGGTTTTTGTGGCTTGAAAGAATATTTTAATCACAGGGTTGAATCCTGAGTTGCTCTTTCAGAAGTGAGAAGAGCTTGTGCTCAAGCAGGAGGTGGAAGAAGGGTCAGTGCACATTTTTACTAAGCCCTCTTCTGCAGTGATCTACCTTACATGCCATCCTGTTCTGAAGAGTATTCTCCAGAATGCATTTTCCCATGAGAAGTGGGAGGTGGGAAAGCCCCATTCCTCTTATGGAAGCTTAAGTTAGTATCCTAGTCTGCAGTAAAGTTACTGAGTTAAAACATGTATGGGTTTCTGCTGATTTCCTAAGGCTTTGCATTTTGTCTGTAAAATACTTCCTTCACGCCTTACTAAATGAAGAGCTAGTAAAGGCGTGACTAAAGTTGGGCGGTAACGCAAGGGTGATAGCATGTTCCTTGAGTTTACTGTAAGAGACTTACTTTTTTTGTCTCAGTGCATAAACCAAAAGACTAATTTAGTTTTCCTGCACATGACAGAAGTGTCTGTATAATTCTTATCCAATAAAATATTCCTATGAAGGCACATCAGTGTACATCCTTATATAGTCCTTGAAGGAACTGAGGCAAATTCATGAAGTTAATGTGGTTGTAGTGGTTAAGAGTGCTGGGCTAGAACGCAGAAGATCTGGATTCTAGTCTTCACACAGTTATGGAGCCAACTGGGTGACTTTGGCCCAGTCACAGACTCTCAGCCTAGCCTTCCTCACAGGGTTAGATGTGGGGATAAGATTGAGAGGAGAAAAATGATGTAAGCTGCCTTGACTTCCTTGAAGAGGATACAGGGCAGGATACAAGCACAAATAATAGTATCAAATAAGTATCTTAGGACAGTGCTGGTATTACATGCTCACTTTTGGTCATTGATTTAAAAGCCTAGGTTCAAATAAAGACGTCTAAGTGGTATCTAATGTGTATATTATAAAAGGAAGTGACAAACAATGAGAGATACTTTTTTCTATGCTTTTTAAAGGCTTGGTTGCAGTGGGAGAAAAGACACAGAAAAGACACAGGCCTTTCAGCACCGTGAAAGATCTTTCAGGTGAGACTTCCAAATTTAACTATATGTTTTATATGCAAAATGTTTCAAGTACATTAGCATCTCCAGTGAAATGATCAGGTGGTATCTTTGAGACTTTGGAGATCTGCTGCTGTGGGCATTAGAGGAATAGCCTGCCTTGGTATTAAGAGTGCCTCCTAGTGTATCAGTTTTTGCTAATTGTGGTATTTCTGGATAATTTCTAAAACAAACTCTGTTGTCATTAAGGGAAACACCCAGTTTCAGCACTGCTAGAGGTCTGTAATAAAAGAAGATGGTCACCCCCTGTATTTGTACTGGTGAACGATAATCGGCCTGAATATCGCAAACATTTTCTCTTTAAGGTAAGCTAGAATTTTCTCATAATACTATCAGTTACATTTAAATTTCTTCCTGGTAGCTTGCCATCACATAATTATAGCATACACTTCAAGGCACACCGGCTTGGATCCTAAATTTTCATTTTACTCAAAGTACTTGCTTTCATAGTTGGTGAACTGTATTCATGGACTTGACTTTTCCTTCTATAAACAGAAGTTCCTTTCAATCAAGGCACAAAAGGTTAGAGTCCAAGCCAATCTTAAAGGCTCCCTGCCTTACATGCACAATGGGATTGGGATTATAACTTTCATGCTCTCTTTCCTCCTCTCCCTATAAGGAGAAGGTAACATTTGAACTAGGCTCCTGATGTAATCAAGTATGTGGTGTAGGAGTATAAACTAGTCCTACACATGCTGTGGGAGCAGGTATCTGGTGGGCAAGCATTAAGAATGCTGTCAGCGTGCAAATGACTGCTGCAAGTCATCTCAGGCATGAGATTGCATTTGAGTGTAGGCTGCCTCTCATGCTATTTCTGTTTCAAAACAGTACAAAATTAAAGGATTAAAACTCCCATTTGGAAGGGAAATGTGATACTCATATTTGTGCGGTTTGCCTGCATTTTGTTCTTGATCAGTATGTATGAATATCTGATCAAGTAAATAGTGGTGTGAGAATATCCAGTTTGCTTCCAGTGCAGAAGGTCTTTATACAAGGAGACACAGTACATAACTTTGACAGCATCTTTTTTTCCTTGTCTAACAGGTGATGGTCAATGGAGTTGAACATAAGCCTAGCTTTGTCAGTCCTAATAAGAAGCATGCCAAGGCCACAGCAGCTACTGTGGCTCTCCAAGCACTGGGACTAGTACCAAAGGAGCTCTTGGCTAATGCCACCAACTTCAGGAGTGCCTCACACAATTAAACTATTGTTTTTTAATTGACATTTCCAATATTTTTATTCTGCACAATGGATATTTTCCTCCTGTGATTTTGTAAATACATTAGCAGCTCATTGTAAAAACTGTACAGATATCTTCAGGCTTTTCTTTTTGTACATGGAAAATGTATTTAAATCATTTAGTTTTTGTATGTATATTATTGATGTTAGTGATGTCATTATTTCTTAAATTACAAAATATCCAAACACATGACTCTAGAAGTATATGTAATTCATTTTAAAACTCAAATTTTATCTTCAATATGAAATGTAAAACTTGTTTTGTACCATGATGCAGTTCCCATAGTTTTGGTAAAGTTTCTGTTGTAATCAGTTGAAGCAGTATAGTGTGTTAAAATCAACAAGAGCTGGCAGCTAATGCCAGACAAGTGTCAGGCTATACTATTTTACCTGCAGAAAGTTTTCTGGATGATGCTATTACTATTTCCCTATTTGAATGCCATTTGCAAGTTAATGCTATTATCCAGTTGGAGTTGCATTTAAATGGAAAGGAAGTATATTCAGCAACAGAACTTAAGAGAATTACAACATAAAATTGTCTGCACGTTTTGGTACAAAAAATGTTCCTGTATTTTCAGTCTAAAACACAATGCCTGATGTTGATTGTATTCATTTGTGGTAAACAAATGTTCAACTATAACTGGATGGGGATGTAGAATGATGCTAACATTGTATTTAGCTTGGTTAATAAAGCAGCACAAGCTCACTCTTGCTTGACTAGTTAACAACACATTGAGATGTATGGTCTGATTATCTGCAGGAAGATGTTTTAGTTGGGCTGTTTAGTATAACTTTAAGAAGTTGGCAGCAACCTATGAAAAATGGGAACAGCTATGATGTCAGATAGGACTGAATTAAGTTCACAGGAAAATGTTTGTTTAGATGTTAAGTTTTGACAGAAGTTGATATTTAAGTATTGAATAAGTTCTTACTAGTTTGTGCTCATTAATATAGCAGGAAATTTTCTTGATTAAAATACATTCAGCATTGGATTCTTGATGTTTCCACTATTTAGCCTGTAAGAGTTGTAGCTTGCCAACTATTAAAACTGTAGGGCTGATGTAGGGCACTACGAAGGGTGTAATCCAATGTATCTTTAGATAGAAAAGAGTCACAGTTGAGCATGGGGAATGCTTGGCAATGCACAAACTTTCTGTCTAAATGTACATACAGTTGCACACTCATTGACTTTCCTATCTTCTTGTATGATATCAGAGCTAAATTGTATTTAGACAAAATTGACAACTGGTGTTACCTCCTAATAGCCATTGACTGAGGTGTGCCTCTACAAATATTTTTTGACTATGGGTGTTTATAAAATCATGACTATATAGTCCAGATTTTAGTAGTATGTAGTAAACACAAGATTCCTAATCTCCATTTCTATCTGAAATGTGCCTTGCTTATTAGAAGATACTTCATTACACTGCTGAAATTAAACCTTGTTCTCAGCGCATCAAATTTGGGAGACGGGTAGAAAAATCAGACTAAGACAACAGGCTTTTAATTTAGGGTGTCAAGAAAAATAGAGGGTGCCTTTCTAACTCAATTGTACAGGTTACCTGTACTGTAGTGACAGATATAGGAAGTAGTAAAAAGCCTAGAAATTATTTCGCCTTACAAGTATACTTGGTGAAAAACATTGAGAACTTGGGAACACTGAGAACTCTGATCAATAGGAAGTGTTTAAGACAGCTAGTTTTAATGTGTTTGCTTGCAGTTTTTAAAATATTCATGTTTGGCATCCTCAGGCATTCATGCTTTATGAAGCTGTACTATTCTTATGGTGGTTTTAATAAAATCTCATAATAGCTGTATTCACATCAAGTTAATGGTGTACACTGTAGGAAAGCCAATAAACAGTTTCAAGTGCAGGATGGAACCATGAATGTTAACAAAATTATAACTGAAGTTCCAGCCAACTGCTATCTAAGAGTGACTTCTGCAGAACATGAAAATGCATCTTTGATCAACTAGTACTGTTCAAACACAGGCCTGAGCTAGATTCTTAACTGTATGCCACACTGACTTTGCTATTTACTATGAAAATTGCCATTCTGACAGGTACTTAAAATACACACAAAAACCTGACCTCAGGTGCTCATAAAAATTGTTCTTCCAGCACTATTTTTACATGAAAAATACATTTGTATACACATATTACCTGATAACTTAAATTTCGGAAATGATCTGTGAATTTTTGTACCTTTCAAGGGCTCACTTTTAGAGAAAGATGGTCTGACACAGTATTAATCTTTTTAAAAATGCTATCACTTTGCTTATTACCATATAAACATTTGTTCTCTCCTGTGCTATTATGTATCTCAAAGTCTCACTTCGTTCAAAGAAAACATACAAATTTCTTAGTTGTAAAGTTTAATTTAAAACTATACAAAGAAGAGGTTACAAATCTGAAAAATAAACAGCTGTTTTAGGAGAAAGGTGAGAGAGGCTCCTACTGACTTTGCACAAACCTCAGCAATTTTACCTAAAAACAAGGTGCACAGGCAGCCTATATATTTTAAAAGCAAAATTGGGTCCCTGGAGGCTTCCATGTTCTGCCACCATGCCACACAATTTTTGGCAGCAGCAGGCAGGATGGTGGTCCTTAGTGGCATTCAGGAATGAGCAGTTTTCAGGTAATGAAAGTTAACCTGAGCTGAATTTAAAGTTCGTACATTAAGATATTCTTCCTCATGAGCCATTTTGTATGGGCATAATAGCAACAAATGTTTTAAGGAACACATACAGCAATTCGTAGTTCTTGCTTAGCTTTTCCATGTATAGAAATAATCATTCATTTCTAGATGCTTTATTGAAGACTTTCCTAATGTTGAATAAAGTCTGAGTTGATCCAAAGTGTTTGGGTGCAATCCATAGTTGCAAAGGTCTTTCCTGATTGATTCCTGTTCAAATAGAGATTTACAAAACATTGACATATTGGAAAAGGATGCTTCACCAGGATGACTGTTTTTCACTGAGTAATCAACTCTACACCTTTTCTCCTCTGTAGGAAACTGGTCAGCACAATACAATTTAAAGATTAGTATCATTCCTCTTCTTTACTCAGCAATCAGTTTTCAATTGTGGGCACAAATAGACTTACCTCCTTTATGTTCTGACCATTGCTAATATCTATGTTGAACACAGCTGTTGGTTCATTTGTATAACACACAGCAGAAAAAGATCCCTTCTGAGCAGATTTTAGCACCATGGACAAAGAATGTAGAGAATGAGGCATGACAGGGCCTGTGATCTCCAAAGTAAATATATCCTTGTAATGTGTGCTGATTTGTGTTCTTGCATTTATGGTTCGGGCCTAGAAACAGGATTGAACATTACAACAAAGGTTCATTATAACAAAAATACAGCCTTGTTTTTAAAAACATGAGTGGATCAACTCCACCAAAAAAAAAATTGAGAGGAAGTGACAAGAAATGAAGGTCCAAATAAACTGATTTGGAGTCATATTTCCATGAATAAGAAAAAAGTTGAACAAATATAATCCAGAAAAAAAATGGACCTACTACAGCTGCAAACCACCTTGTACTGAAACTAAAACCAAATGCGTGAGCACCCTGGTAAGAGGTGCCTGATGTAGGCACTGTGTCGACTTTATGGTGGGTGAACAGTTGCAGGCAAGGGAATAGTTGCCAACCGTAGCCCACCCATTCCACGTTCTAAAGGATGATGTATCTCAACTGTCCACTTAAGTTCCAAAGTACTTAACAGTGCACAATATGTACACATAGGTGTAAGAGCAGACTGCATCATATTTGGACTTGGGGAAGCTAAATGACAAGTAATGGCTGCCTTTGTTGTATCAAACAAGATGAAACATTTGCAGCAAGTGTCCAATATCCCATCCTTGGTTTGGTGTGAGGAGGCATCTGTCAGGATATGCACAAGCTAAGCCAGGAAAGCTGACAATGTCTGAAAGTATGAGGGAAATGATCTATGAAGCACCTAAAGGCTGCCTCTAAAACCAAAGGCATTCCCCAGCCTCTCTTCAGCTCAAGTTAACTTACTGCTCTATCCATCAGTCCCTGTCAGCACAGTCAATGCTGAAGGACAATGGGGGTTGCAGTCAAAACAAATCTGAAGTACACCAGGAAAAACTGACACAGTGAAGTTACTGGGCAGGGCCCCTAACAATTTCTGTGAGGGGTGGGTTAAAGGAATGAAATAGGCTGCATATGTATCTGTTGGTAAAATGAGCAAAGAAACACAGGCAGGATACGAAGGAGTTCTCCCTGCTGAAAGCGGATTCTGCATTTGATCCAATGTTCTTTGATCACAAACTATCAGATGGGCACTTTTTTAAAACCATGTTGCAATGCTTTGTTTACCTTGAGTGTCTGCATAGTTGCACCTCTAAAACAAACTGGGGATAGCAATGTTGGAGGGATGCCAGCCTGAGGGCCCACAGAAGCCACCAAACTCTTGCAATTTATTAGGAAGTTTAGCAAAGTGAAGGTATTGGATCCCTTCACTAACACAACCGACTGAGGCTTGTGATCCATTTTTATCTCATTTCTTTCTTTAGAACTATATAGACAGAATGTCAAAGAAAACAAACATGACAACAATACAGTAATTGTAAAAAACTCTCATTAGTTCAAGCCAAAGTTAAAAGTTCCATCTAATATCCATAGAAGCAAATGTTTTTTTCTGTTTTTTTGTGTAATTTCACATTATTATATACTAGATGCACTTTTCCTTGTATTGCTGTATTTTTCTGATGTGTTGCTTGTTAACTTGGTGGGGAGCAACTGCAGAAGATGTAATGATAGATCTGTGGAGGACAACAGAAGTCACCAGCTAGATCACTATTTAACTTGTTCAGCTATTAAAGGATAAATACACATTTCACCTTTCACTGAAGTGAAAAGGCAAGAACCATTTTAAGGCAATTCTATACATGCTTAGACAGGAAAAAATCCTACAATTCTTAGCTTGTCCAGCCAGAAGTATGCTGACCATTGTAAGACTTTTTTCTATTTATCTAAACCTAAATAGGATTACATGGTGACACTTTTGAATTTTTAACACTATTTGAATACAGACTTTAAGTTTTAGGCAGTAGACATTTTGTGTTCTCTTATTTAAGAAAGATTGTACTGTATTCTACTTATTTAAATATATTTATTTAAAATCTTGCTGTATTAGCAACTCATCCACTGCCAAAGTTGCCATGCAACACAGTTGTCAATGCATGCATCCCTGCCACATCAATGTTTTTTCTACTGAATGACTACTGGTGTGGCTACCAGAAAGACTGCTGCCCTCTTAAAGAGGAGGCACCTGCCCCTCGTAGATATATCACGTCTTGATTGTTAGAAGGTACATATTTTCGCTGACCAACATGTGCAGCTGTAAACTGCTGAATAAAGTGTCTCAATACTAAAAGGATACAGTTTGATAGAAATTGTCTCTGGCTTTTTAATTTTGTCCTGAACTCCCATCTCTTCCAACCATGAAAATCCGTCGTCGTCGTCGTCGTCATTGTCACCACCACCACTCATCCCTTGCCCCCTATGCAAAGAAATACCGCTTTAATGCACCATAATATACTTGCAATCCACTATGATAAGGCCTCATAAGGTAAGCATTAGGTAAACATACTACTTACTCTTTATTCTCAACATTTTTGTCTGTTGTTTCATAATGGTCAGGAAGTCCTGTTTCTAAGTGGGATGCCACAACATTGCATGTTCTTTTTCTAACTTCTTGAAACGGTAAATAAAATTCAATACCTGAAAAGGAGGGAAGGAATGCAAATCATTGATGCATGCCTTAGGTATATCTGAGGGCTTTAAAAATCATTCAGACCTTAAGATAGCTGTCTTTTACCTTCACTTTTCATAGCTTCTCTTAAGCCTCTGGTTGTGGGAGAAATTAATGCTGTGATTGTATCACTTCCAGCAAAACCTGCTGCACGGAATAGCACAGTGAACTGGTAAGTGCAAACATAGAAATAGGGACACAGTTTGGCTCTGAGCAGATTATAAAGTGATGTAAAACTGAGAGACCTGAAAGTTAAAGAAACATGATCATTTTGGAAGCATCACAATTAAGTTAAAAAATTCCACTCTCAAGGTGGATAAATTCAAAGCAAGGTGAGTTAATCTATGATTTACATCTACAAGGAAAAAAGGCTTATTTATATCAAGTTTCTTGCTGACACTATGTCATATATTTTCTGGGTAGTGGTACAAATCTGAACATAAATCTACTTTAATAATACACATACATACACACACAATATTATTACATCACACTTATATCCATCTTTTTTTCTTCTTGCAAGACTCCAAGGTGGCTTATGTGATCCTTCTCTCCATACTATCCTCACAACCCTGTGAGGTAGGTTAAATTGACAGTCTGTGACAGCCCAGTAGAACTTCATGACTGAGTGGGGACTAGAATCCAAATTTTCCATGTCTCAGTCCAACTGCTACACTACACTGGCTCACAGTTATTTGATCCTTATTATTATCCCTTGCATCTACTTGTCTAAGTTTTGCACACTGCCCTTTTTAACCCATACAGAGAATGCCTAAATATTTCCCTACAGGGTCCTTCCTGTGACAGCAGCAATTACAGCGGACTTTTTCAGTCTGGAGCCCTCCATAATTTCTAGGCAGTAATTCTGCTTTTCCTGGCAGAGAAATTCTATGCATGTGCCCTTGCTTCTTTGGCACGGAGCAGATACAGCCTTTGATCAAACACAGAGATGTAAAGGGAATGGCCATGAATGCTGTTCTAAAGGTCCTGGTAGTCAATGGGAATGATGTGGCCAAGGGAACAACATGAACATGCTCCAATGCAAACTAAAATGTGTTATGCATAAAGGCCTGAGATTTGGGACCAAAATGCCCAACCCATTAACTACTCTAGTGGAGGCACTAGTAGGGTAAGGGGAGCCAATTCCAATATTAGGACTGGGGGAAACTCTGGGCTAGTTACTGACTCTCAGCAAGGTCAAACCTACCTTGCAGGGTTGTTATAAGGATAAAATAGAAAGGAGGATCATGAATACCACCTTGGGCTCTTGGGAAGACAAGACAGGATATGACTGTAGCAAATGAATAAACAGAAGTGCATGAGAGGTCAGTGGGTAGAGGGGAATAGCCAAAGGTTGCTGTTTGCTTCCTAGCCTCCTTTTGTGGGTGACTATAAATTCCAGCAAAAATAAGAGGAAACATATATTTAAAACATTCCTAAGAAAGTTAGATCAGAAGTTTGCATAACAATATGGCACTGAAATACTAATTGCATCATAGAGTAAGTACATCCACTCACAAAACCTTATCTTATCAAGAAGTCGTAACAGAAAGGATCTGATGTTGGCATTTTATATGGCAGAAGGCTGCTTGAGAACAAGGGAATGAGATGCAGGCGAGAACGAAGTACCACCTCCCTCGTGATTTCTCTGCTTTAGATCTCTCACAAACAACTTTTTAATGCCTGCGAGAGGAGGTGTTTAGGCTTTTGCATGCACTCACATATTTAGCTTTACAGACTTAAATCTACTTTTTTCTTTGCAGACAATCAACTGCTTGATAATACATTTCATCAAACCAATTTATACAGTGTCATAGAAAAGATCATTTGGTGTTTTAGAGTATTATGAAAAAATACTCTAGGAACAGCAGTTTCCAAACTATTTTGGTCATGGAACCTTTCTGAAGAATTTTTTTCCACTGCTCTAGAACACCAGCAAAATATGCTACTTAAGTAAAGAGATATGCATTTCTATTCATTTCAGCTTACCATTCACGCATGAGGATTTGTTGGAGTGCATCATCACAGGACCACATATTATTTTTTCCTGCCATTTTTCTATCTGCTCCAATACGAGGGAACAGTTGTAGCCATGGTAGAAAAGGATGTAGCCAATAAACAAGGCTTTGCTGGAAAGCACATCGAAGTTCTGTGGAGAGCTTTGGTTCCTAAGATATCAAACAGATTTCCTGTTGAAATCAGGACTTCAAAATGTATTTTAGGTCACCAGCTCATGTAAGCAATTATTAAAGGGATTAATAAAAGTATATTGAGAAACTTAGTACGTATTAAGTTGTATATCAAACTCTGGGACATGCCACAATTTAACACAAATGTGAGCAGCAACTGCAATAAAACTTCATCCCAATTTACATGAAAAACATTCCAAAAGAGAGGTCAAATCCCAAAGTCATCCCAGATTCTGAATAAAGTCAGCATGGTAAATCACAAAGTCCTCCTCACCAATATCACTGGAAAAATCTATTTTAGGACACCTCTCTCAGATTTTTAAAATTACCAGAAAGATTTCATTGACCTAGATATGAATGGATCCCACATCCCATTTAAAAGAAAATATCCATATTGTCTTGCTCAACAATATCTCCAAATACTGAGATACATGATAGGAAGACATGACTGGCTGATTGGTTCACACTTTTAAAGTATTTACTGTGTCAATATTAGTAAATCACTGCAAGCGAAATAGTTGTGGAAAGTGTGAACTTTCCCTTATCTATTTCAAGTTAGGACCTTAGTTTCTCAGGTCTAGTATTCTAATCAAGGGTTAAACTGGAGGAGTTACCGGAATACTCTGAGGCAAATTTATTACTGCTGCTCTGCAATGCTGGATATATCCTTGAGATTCTTCTTGTGCTTTTAGGTGATCTGCCCATGCAAAGTTTTGAGAAGACGTGAATAGAAGGCGAGTTTTAATACTCCAGTCCACAGGAAATTCATAACTTGGTGAGGAAGAAACATCAGTACTGGGAGGGGCCAGATGTGGGTCCTTGCAAAATATAAATATCAAACAAATTACCAGGAAGCACCTAGTTCATTATAATGCCAGCAGCTGGCAATTAAGAAGAAGGCTGTTGTCCCTTTTCGTCATTATTTTAGTTATTATTTAGTTAAAGTATTTCTACACCGTTTTATTAGATGAACTCTCAGAATGGTTTACAAAATATACTTTTAAAAATTAATAACAATCAGTTTAAAAATAATTTTAAACAACCTTCCCTGTCCCAAAACAACAATGTAACAAAAATATTTTACAGGCCATAATAAAACAACAACAAAGCAATGCATAATAACATAATGTCCATTCCGCCTGAACTAAATAGTTTAAGAGCAATAAAATCACAATCAGCAATTAAAACTGTGAGAAAATAAGAATGTCTTAACCTGGCACCTTTTGGCACCAGGCATATTTCCTTGGGGAGCAGATTAACCACAGTATAGTGTTAAATCTGCAACTTAAACTAGCCAAGGGCAATATTTAACTGTGTCTGAAACTCAAGGAAAGCCTTACCACACAATAGCAAAGAAAGATGGATGCTCAAAAAAAATTTAAAACTAAGAGGTATATTTCACTGCTGCAGACAGAGAGCACATTAGCCAAAGAAAAATGGGCACAAAATTTTGATAACCACCACTAACAAAAAAGATATCTTTAAACAGGTTGACCATTGCTTTGACAAAATAAATAATCCTCATAAATGAATTGTATGAATACTCCACCCATCCTTTGGTAAGTTTATTTCTCTCACTCCCTCCATAACTACCCATAGTGAACTCTAGTTCACACTAATCCCTTATAACTCTTAGTTACCAGTTTCTCTGCCTATTCCATACAGGAGGTGATACCTCCCTTCCAACATCAACTACAAATTTTTCTTCTCTCACACAGATTTACACTTTTGATAGTCTTGCTTTCCTGTAAACAAAACAACAGCCTAGCACATTTGGTTCCTTCCATAGTCTATTGGACTCATACAGTTGGTTCTGTAAGCACACCTTTCTGTTTGCAAGCATACTGCTTATGGAGAGAGTATTTCGTGCCCTAAAATTCCTGCATGCAGAGTACCATATGGTAGCATGTGTAAAAGGCATGAGGATTTGGCACTGTATGATAAAATGTTTAATATGTTGATATTTAGACATTCTGCACTTAAAATAATTCTTACATTAATAAATGAGCCAACAGCTGTTGTTTCAGAAAACTCTTCTTTCCAGACAGATCTGTCTTCCTGAAGACCATTTACCAACTGAAAAAGTTGTGCAAATGAAAAAAATTATTTGATGAACACAACAAAAATTATCGCAGCTTTTAACAAAAAAAGTTTAAGCAATTTTGTGTGTTCATCCCTTAACATTTAATAAACATTCTGAACTTTATGTTAATAAACTGCTAGTTCAACTTACTTCAATACGGTATCTACTTAAAATGTTTGCTAAATAAATGCCTATTTTTGTTATAAAATTACCAAATAAATATGGCGTTTAGTCAAAATTATGACACTCATCAATTTCCATGTAAGAGTGAAGTTAGTGCTCAAGTATCTACCATCAGTATCAAAGGGGCATAAAAGGATTTAACTTTGGCTTGGTTTTGGCCAGAGACGACAGTGATGGATGGCCTATAAATTTCCTAAATAAATAAATCCTTCTCCTTCTCAGGGAAAAAAACCCCAATGTATGCAAATAGCACAGTATAAGAAACTCACTGTCCAATTATCTTATGAAGCTACTACACTAAAAAGTAAGCAAACAGATAACGTCTCACATCAAGTTTATATATGGGTAAGTAAAACATAAGCTTCAGGGTCTTACATATCCATTTAGCAAAAACCAAACACTGCTTTCTTCAGAAAGTTTAGACAGTGGTCATAGAGACATAGCATAATAAGGAAGGAAGGGGCCAAGAAGGCCATTGCGCCCAAACTGCTGCTGGTGCAGGTCGCCAGTTACATCTTCCCAACTGTCTAGCTTCTTCTTGAATGTCTCCCGTGCGGAAGAGCACACAATCGTTCTTGGCAACTGGTTCCACTGTCACAACGCTCTGGCAGTTTGGAGGTTCTTCCTTGTGTCTAGCCTGTACCTGGTGTACTGTAGTTTCAGTTCATTGTTCTGTGTCCTACACTCTGGGATGATGGGGGTCTTTTCCTTCTTCTCTGTGACAGACTTTCAGGTAGGTGTACAGTGCTATCATGTCACCTCTACTCTTCCTTTTCCCAAAGCTGAACAGGCCCAGTCCTTTCAGTCTCTCCTCAAAAGACTTAAGTTTTCAGGCCCTGTATCATCCTTGCTGCCCTCCTCTGAACTTTCTTCAGATTTTTTGGCATCCTTTCGAAACCTGGGTGCCCAAAACTGAATGCTGTATTCCAGGTGAGAACTGACTAGTGCAGAGTACAGTGGAATGAATACTTCTCTTTTTCTGGAAGCGATACCTCTGTTTATGCATCCCAAAATAGCGTTTGCCTTGCCTCTCTAGACTCAACTATACTACCTTAATAGTTCAACCCTCTTCTTCTACAGCTTGAAACTTATTTTCAATACATTAATGCTATTACATATTATTTTAGTAAGCTCTGTTTTCCAATTGCCAAGCCTGAACCCCACTAATGTCAATATGATGAGCACTGCGAAACTGTACATAGAATTATGGGCTAACAGGCCTGCTTAACACCTGAATGTTTGTTAAAACTGGTCCTGGTCCTCAAGATAGACTTCTACGGATAAATGCATATACTGCAACGTTAGCAATCACGGAAAATGATTGCTGAGTTATCAACTAGCCCCATCCCCACCAGAGGAGAGAAAATATGGGCTAATCTTGAAAACGAAAAAAGAGGGGTGAATGGAGCAATCCTAGGCATGTTTGGATAGAGAAGCCTACGACCGCGCCCCAGCCAGTATTTTTTCCGTGTCAATGCTGCCTAGAGGTGCGCTCTAAAACACTGCGTGGGATCGCCAAGAGCTCTGCCGCCCTCCGGCCTCCCACTGGTCGCGGAGTTAAGCCTCTGAAAAAGCTACCCAGGGCGAGAGGCCCCCTTACCTGTCGGCTGGGAGATCGGCGAGCGTCGCTCCCGCTTACTAGCCACTCCGCGCCCGCTGCTTTCCCGACGGGAGAATGCGCCGGCCTGGGCGCCGGTGGAGGCCGAGGGGTGTTCTCCATGCTTGAGAAGGGATTGCGCCTACGACTGCCCGGGTAGGGCCGCGGGGAGAGCGTGGCATCCTGCTGGGCTGTGGCCGCGGGAGACTCCGCAGAGATGGAGGCCGCCACGCTCTTCCAGGACCGCTTCCTCTTCAGCCGCAACGTCTCGGGGGGCTTCTTGAAGCCCGGGGAATAACCAGGGACGACAGAGCCCATCACGAGCGCTGGCCGCGAATCCCGCGCGTAACGCACAGCTCCGCCCTTGCGGCCTTTCGGCTCGCCCGCGCTGCAGCCAGCCAATCGCAAACGAGCATCCCGGCGCTCCCGGCCTGCCTCAGCGCCCGGCAGCGTGCGCGGCCCAGCGGGGGCGGCGGGCGTGGCTCAGCGCCAGTCCCTGACCGAGCATCAGCGTTCGCAGTTCTAGAGCGTAATGAAAAAGATAATTTAATGATCAACAGCAGCTCCCGAGCATGCCCAAAATGAGATCCTGCGACTTGGCAAGTGACTTGCGACATTTCTGCGCAACCGTCCAGTGTCTTCCGGAGTTTAAGCCCACTGTTTACAAATATATTTGCCAACGGAAGATAACTGCAGATCTTTAACAAAAAGGCGGGGGAAAGGTCTAGTTGATTAAAGCTTATGCCACACTTAATCTCATATTTGCCATTGTTTTTTCAGGAAAGGAATAAGGCGACTGACACCAGAGTTTTAGATGGCATAGTTGCTATCTGGTTAGGATTAAAGAATATGGTGTAGTAATTTATAGTTAGTACTGTATATGTGAGTGTATTACTTAGAATGCAATCCTATACCTACCTACTTGGGTACTGGACTACATTTGAGGTTGAAAGTGTTCCTTGGTGATAAAGAAGGTTAATGTTTCAAACACTTAAAACAGGAAAAGAAAAGGGGCAAAGCTTAACTCACAAGTTAGAACCTTTACTAATAACTGTTTCCAGTACAAAAAGTATACCATTGTGGCTGTGGCATGTGGAGAAGCCTTCAGGTCAGTTGTGTCATTGCAGTGAATCTGGTCATGTTTCTTCAATGTTCTGATACTGTTATGAAAAAAAATCACATTTTACAACATTTGTAGCAAGGAAAATAATGCCCTTCACACTGCATTTTGTAAGTTATTCCTTTTCAAAGTATTAGATGCCATATTCATGTATTTAGACAGTACGATTTTATTGTACCTTTTTTCCAGGTGAATTGACTTGAAATTTAACTGACAATGAAACAACATTTTACAAGTCAAGGAATGCACTTATAAAGTACAGTTAAAATGGGAATTTAAGTTAATGGCATTTTGCTCATACTATATCTTTATTTTATATTGCTACTGCTAGCAAGAAGCACAACTGACATTAGAGTAAAAACAACAATAAAATAAGGTTAAGAAGGCATTTTGAGAATCCCATGTTAATAGTTTTCCAGTGACACTCTTCCCCCCTTTTAGTAAGACTTTCCCCCTCCTTCATCTGATATAGCATGTAAGTCCCAAACGGTGAATACAAAAAGTCATACAGTAAACAAATACAAATGCTGTGTCTTCTATTCACAGGAATTACTTCTGAAGGGGAAGAAAGGAGGGCAAATATGAGAAAGTTGGTAACTAACATTTTAGACACAGTAGTAAATCTAATGGATCAGAAACTTCAGTTTCTCTCCCAATATTTTAAATAATCATCAATCAGTAACTACAAATTATCTGGAAGTTATTGAAGAATACTTCACAAATATGCAATTTAGAACAGTTCACTATTTTTCTTTCATGATGCCTTAGAAACTTCAGAGCTGGACAACTTGTCTTTTTCTTGCTTGATTTTTCTGAACCATTTCCATAGAAACTTTAGCTTCATACAATGGGACTGGCTCATCCAAATGAGGCCTAAAAGAGAATAATCTTTCAGAAGTGCCTGGAATGTATGCTCAAATGAAAAAATACACACGTTAGGACAATTGCTATAGACTTTACTTTTGAGGAAAGTCAACTTTACTGCTCAAACAAATTGAAAGGACTATAGGCTGCCTAGAATCCCTGGAACAAGGAAGCAGAGAAAAAGCAAACAGGGAACAGATGTTCAATATATTACATTCATGTCAAAATAGCTTTTAAATGTAGTTTTAAAGAAATGCATTTTATATTTCATTTGAGGTTAAATCTACAGCCCCTGCAGTATTGCATCAGAAAATCCAAATCCAGTTAATCATTTACAAGAGAGAAAATATGCTATGTGGTGTAACCATTAGGAAGACTATCAGCAGCCCTCTGGGTGGGAGATTCATTCTGGTTCCTGACTCCTAGCTGAGCAAATGAGAGGAAGCTGCTCCAGCTGGTCTAGGGACCACGGAGTACAAGCAACCAAGCTCCCACAGAGCAAGCAATCAGGGTGAGTGAACAGGAGTCTGGTGGCAGAGTTTGGAAAGTGAGGTCCCCAATTCTCCCCGCTCCCTTGTTTTTTTCCTTGTAACACATTCCCTTTTACTGCTGGACTGTGTTGTTAACCTTCAGGGAAGACAGAAGAAAACACGGGTTGTTACAACAGGCCCAGTAAGGTATAATAAAAAATGTAGCAGAAAGCATGGGCTGAGAATTTTTGTGCCTGCAACATCTGTGCAATGTTTGTTTGTTTGTTTGTTTTTGCCTGAGATTAACGTGCAACAGTTGCAAGCTAGTAGCCCTGTTAAAAAACGTGACGGCACAAGAGCAGCAAGTGTCCACCCTCAGGGGAAGAAACGAAGATGAAGAGTTTTTTAGACAGAGCAATAAAACTTCAACAGCTAAGAGTAGTACAGAAGCTAGAAGAGCAACAGCAAGCTGGGGCAGAAGAGGAGGGAAGGGAAAATGAGAAGGAAACTCCCTGGAAAAGAGGGAAAGGAGCAGAAGTAGTAGGAGGCACTCTGCACCAGTGGAGGCTATGGAACTATGAAGATGAGACTAGAGGGCAGCCTGCAGAGGAAGAACTACAAGTCATTCTTTCCAACACTGAACAAGATGCTAAAGGTCAACCAAGTAGTAGCAATGATACCAAGGCTTACAAGATCAAGAAAAGAGGAGTGTTAGTTGAGCAAGACTCCCTGTTGCATGAGATGGGAACACATGTATGTCAGGAAGACCCATGGATTCATCAGGTATGCTGTTTGCCAGGAGAATAGGTTAGTAATATAACTGAAAGACTGCAAAGGCTGATAAAGGCCACTGAAACATATCCCTTCTTTCTTTTACATGTAGGAACAAATAACACTGCCAAGCAGATCTTGGAAGAAATTACATCAGACTTTGAAGCTTTAGGGGAAAAAGTCAAAAACTTTGACAGGTTTTCTTCAAACTTTTAAGTCCATAAAAAAGTTTATGGACAGGGAAGAACACTCCAGATGAATGCCTGACTATGAAGCTGGTGATGATGAGAGAGATTTGGATTCTAGGACCATGGGCTACACTTCCTGGAAGATGGACTGCTAGCAAGGGATGTGTTGCACGTTACAAGGACTGGAGAGAAAGTTTTTGGCCACAGCATTAAGACGCTTATCAGGAGGGCTTTAAAATGAATCCTGCGGGGAAGGGAGAAGCACCTCTAGGTGTAACAACAAAGGCTTATGTACTGCAACAGAGAGAGTAGCTCTAAAAGTGCCCTGTAATAGCCTTCCAAAAATGTAGGAAAAAAGATAGTGAATAAAGCATATGGTCTCTGATGTCTATAATGAATGCCTGGAGTATGGGAAACAAACACCATGAACTTGAACTCTTAATACAGGAGGGTGAATACAACCCAATAGGTATAACTGAAACTTGACAGGATGACTCTCATGACTGGAATTCAACAATCAAAGGATATAACCTGTTCAAGAAGAACAGAAGGAACAAAAACGGAGGCAGAGTTGCACTTTATGTTAAAGATATCTATTTGTGCACAGAAATACAGGAGAACCAACTTATTGACCCCATCGATATCATATGGCTTAATATAAATGGAGCAAGGCATAAAAGGAACACAATGGTTAGAGTCTATTACCAACCACCCAGTCAAGAAGATACAAATGAAACTTTTGAAAAGCAAACTGACAGTGTTTCAATGAGCATGGTATAGTCATTATGGGGAACTTCAGTTTGCCCGATATCTGTGATAGACAAATTCTGTCAAACACAGGGCCTCCAAGAAACTCCTAACATGTGTTGCTGATAACCTTCTTCAACAGAACGTGGAGGAAGGAATAAGAGGAATGGCTATTTTTGACTTGATATTATCTAACGGACAAAATGGCAGTTATGAAAACTCTGGGGGAAAGTGACCATGTCATATTTGCATTCTTGATTCTAAATTAAGGAAGAGCCGAATGTAGCCAAGCATGTGCTGTGGATTTTAAGAAAACAATTTTTTTTAATAAACTCAGAACAATGAAAAGCAAAGTTCCATGGCAAGTGGTGAATAAGAAAAGGAGATGGGTGAGAATTTTAAAAGGAAGTTCTGAAGGCACAATCATAAACAGTTCCAATAAGAAAAAAGGTAGAAGACAACAGAAGAAACCCATGTGGCTTCACAAAAAAGTGGGTTAGATGGAACAATGATCAGGTGGATTCATAGTTGGCTATAGAATCAGACTCAAAGAGTGTTCATCAATGGCACCTTCTCAAACGGAAGAGGAAACAAGTGGAGTGCCTCAGGGTTCAGTCCTGGGCCCAGGACTCTTCAACATTTTTATTAATGATTTGGATGAGAAAGTGCAGGGAATGATTATCATATCTGCAAATGACACAAAACTGGGTGGAATACTTAATACCCTGGAAGACAGAAACAAGATTCAAGGTGATCTTTGGAGCACTGAACTGAAAACAACAGAATAACAGAATAAACAACAGAATAAAATTCAATAGGGACAAATGCCATGTTCTGCACCTAGGAAAAAGAAAACAAATGTATTGTTACAATGTGTGGAATACAATACTACAAGTGAGAAAGATCTTGGAATTGTTGTAGATCACCATTTAAATATGAGTCAGCAGTGTGATGCAGCTGCAAAAATGGCAAATGCTACTTTAGGCAACATTAACATAAATACAACTTACAAATCATGTGAAGTACTAGCTTCCCTTTATTCAGCACTAGTGTGCCCTCATCTGGAGAACTGTGTTCAGTTCTGGGCAACATATTTTAAGAAAGATGCAAACAAGCTGGAAAGGGTTCAGAGAAAGACAAGAATGATATGGGGACTGGAAACAGAGCCCTATGAGGAGCGATTGAAAGAACTGGGCATGATTAGCCTCAATGAGAGAAGCCTGAGATGACATATTATAGCACTCTACAAGTATTTGAAAGGCTGTCACAAAGAGGAAGGACTGGATCTCTTCTTGATCATCCCAGATTTCAGGACACAGAAGAGCAGACTCAAGTTACAGGAAGCCAGGTTTTGGCTGACCATCAGAAGAACTTCCTGACTATAAGAGCAGTATGACATAGACACAAGCATAGAAACAGTGAATCAGAAGGAGCCTCCCAGGCCATCTAGTGTGACCCCTGGCTCAAGCCAGCTCCACTCATACCGTGGAACCAATGACCTAGGAAGGTTGTGGGCTCACTATCCCAAAGTACAGGCATACAAATTGCAACTGGACAGCCATCTGAGACAGATGGTTTAATGTGGACTTCTGCACTGAACAGGGGGTTGGACCCGACCTTACGCCTGGACAAGCCATTTCCAGTATGATACATCTGTAAGAAAAGCCTGATCCAAAGTGGCTTACTTTACTATACAGAATAACATGCAGATTGTCCCAAAACAAACTGCCTTGAAAACAGCTGGGATTTCTCAGGAGTTGTTTCCCTCCTCAATATTTGGAATGAATGGCTAGAGTCCAAGAACTCAGTGACATTTGCCCCTCCTCCCCTACCATTGCTATGGAATTATAAAGAACAAGATTTTAAACTCCCTTCAGTTTCCAAAGCAGTTTCCTTAGAGGCAGGGGAGGAGAGGGCTTTTGCAACCCCAAAACCAAAATCTGAGAGCTGTCAGACTAATAAGCCTAGTTCATGATTCTTTAGACTCTGATTGATGGGAATAATCACAGATGATTAAGACTGCAATCCTATATTCACTTGCCTAAGAGTAAGTCCTACTGAGCTCCATGGAGCTTACATCTGAGAAAATATATACGAGTGCACTGTAAATACATCATATGCAGAATTTTAATTCATAACATTCTAAAGCTATATAAAGAATATTGCTTATTTTACAGTTTGCAGAGTTTCTATGGAGTGTATCTGGCTTACCTGAAGACACCACTTGATAACTTTTCCATTACATCTTCTAAAATGCGTACAATTGTCAAGAAAAACAATGTAAATGGTGGAAAGAGTACAATCCAAAACAAATGTAGGATGCAATTCTATGTTCAATTGGGTGGAACAAAGCCTTGTAACTGGCTAAAGAATCCTGGGAATTGCAGGATGTTTCTCTGTCTACACTTGCACGGGACTGTACCTTAAGAGACATAGTGTTCAAAGTTTCTGAGAACTAGTCTATAATTCAGAAACAGCTCTCCTAGGACTTTACCTTTTCAAACACAAGGGTTGGCTCAGTGTTCACCATCTAAAAGCAAAAATAAAACACTTCCTGTCAGGAGGAAAAGCGAGGCAAGTACCCTTACTCTGACCTGCTAGCATTCAATGAGCACGGAAGTACAAGCATTCTATTTTCCCATCTGCATTCAAGAAATTCAGTTTGATAGCTGATAACTGCATGCAGGTGCTTTCCTCCTGTACATAGAGTTTCTTTCTTAGCTTCTGGAAGTATTCTGTACAGACATTTGATAACAAATTATGCAGAAGCAGTTTCTTGAAAATAATTCTTTTTTATTTAACGGTATCATTTTAATGGATCTTACTGTTTTAATAATCAAGGAAACAATTCAATCAGGATACCCATAATAGTCTGAATTCTGAGGATTACAGGCATCCTGTGCAGGCTGCGAGGAATGTAAGGTGAAGGTCACCTTTATGCTCTTCTTTTTCTGGAAAGCACTCAAGTGGCTGATACGAGCTGTCTAAATGCTGTGCTTCAGATTCAGAGGAAAGGAGGCTGAAGCATCATCAAATTATGTTGTATCCTGGTAGCAATACTCTCTGCCCCTCCCCTGCCCCCCAAGAACATTGCCAAAGGCCCTTATCTGAAGTTATTCTTATGTTCTTGGAAAAGCAGCTGGCATGATTCATTCTGCATGAATTGTGGTGGTGAGGCGGCGGGGGGGTGGGTGCTCTATGCAGTCAGAATGATTTTCTGACCTTGCAGTTGGGAATCTGAAAAATCTTAGGGTTGCCTATGCACTAGTAGCCATAGGATTACACTAGATCATAGCAGTGGTGGTGATAATGGTAACAAAAAGGATATATAGGTATTTCCCTTGTTGCATATTTGATAAATTCCATACTTCATCATTTAGAAAAGAGACTGTAGCACCTTTGAGGAAAAGACAGTGGCTATCTGGAGGATCCAGCTTCAAAATGCATGAAAAAGAAAGTTAAGTGCATTATTTAAGATACAAATTGTATGAAGAAAGCGCAATAGTGGATGTTTGATGTAACAGACAGTACAAATAGATTTTAACTTATTTTAAATCTTTTTATTACTTATTTTACTTAAATCTTATTTTATTACTTACTTATTTAAAACTTATTTTAAATTTTTAAGTACAGATCAAATCTTTCTGAGAAAATGGCAATTTATCATTTAGTGCTACAAGGAATAACTCACACTATATTAACAATTTAATTTTTAATGAAAGGTTCCAGATTATTACTGTACGGATTAGTGTTGCAATTGCCATTTGTCTAATTGGTAATAGCAGTTGCATCCAGAAGATCAAGACTGATAGTTTGGAAATAATTTCCAGTGGTGTCGCTGCATTAATCTCTTGTAGCAAAACCAACATGAAATCTTGTAGCACATTAAGGATGCTTATTATGGCAGAAGCATTAACTGATGTCATCAAATGCACCTAGAAATTGGAAAGATGTGTATGTTTGTCTGTCTGGTTTGTGTTTTGCCTTAAAACAGGGTTAAACAACCTAGAGTCCTCTAGATGTTTTGGAATACAACTCCTATTAATCTCTGTCCATTGTTCCATGCTTCCTGGGCCTTAAGGAAATGGTAGTCCAAAGGATCTGGTAGGCATCAGCTTGTATACTCCTGCTTTAATGGTAACTGATCAGGCTATCCTTCCGATTGACTTTTCTCCAGTCCTTTCATTGGTAGACAACATTATTGTGATGATTACATTTGTAGCCCACCATTTTTCCTCTTGCAAGGAACTGAAGGCAGCTTACAAAGTTCATAAATCCTGTGGAGCAAGTTAAACTGAGAGGCAGTGACTACCCCAGAGTCCGCCAATAAGCTCATTGTCATTTGGGACTAGAACCCAAATCTTCAAGTCCCAGTTCTACACTCTCGCTGGTACAGCACACTGGCTCTATCACAAAAGAATTAATCAGAAATACTACATACACGGGTCTGGGAGCCTTCTGGCTGTAAGCTAAGCAGGGGCAGCAGTGGATTAGACCATGTGTTCAGTGGTAGGGTGGGACACTCAGAGACCAATTACTGCTGAGCTTGGACTTGGAAGACATGAAATAACAGTGGCAGATAGTGACTATCACCCCCTCCTAGACATAGTGAATTTCCTGCTCTTCCATTAGGAATTTATTTCCATTCACCATAAATCATAAATCTCCTTAAGTTCTTACATACATTTTCTTTAATATTCTACAAGCATTTGGTTGTCTAAAATTCTCGACCTTTTTACTGTAGCTGCTTCTCTTTCCTTACCACCCTTCTCCCAACAGCATAAGTTCATCTACTTTCTGTCCTACTGATGTGCTTTCCTGGTCCTGGTAGTTGAATGCTTCTGGCTCATTTATATCTTCCTACTCATTATTGATGTTGATGCTCTGTTCTTTGCTTTCCCATCTGTGGTTTTTTATGCTACAATTGTGGTTAGTGATATTCAAACCTCTTTTTGTTTTTCAGGTGATTGTTTGGAGTAGTTAACAAAGATTCCATATACGAACAGAAAATGAATACAAATGCTTTTAGTAGCTGAGGTGCAATCTTATGCATATCTAGGCATTAAAAGCCCTGCAAATTCCACATACTGAGCTAGTATCTCATTCCTAACTGGAGGGAAAGCTGGAAGTTGTATGACATGTATAAGATTGTATCTCTTTTTCTATGTGGCACACTTCTCCAATTTGAAGCTTTTCCTGTACACTGACTCAGATTACCTGTATTTCCACCATTGCCTTTCCCATACTCCCTACTCACTTTCGATCTGTTACTCTGTCCAATGTTCATGTAATGCAGGCTGGATTATAAACCATATTACTGCTCTGTTCTCTACAGTACAAAGCACAATGACAAGAGTAGAGCTAAACAGATCTTAGGCACTGAAACACTGGCTGAGTTTGTAAAGTCACAGGGTTCATGATTGCATGGAAGCCTTCGCCCATACAGCTGTACTCACTAAGACTTCCTCCCTGCAAACTTCCATGTGGTAGATGTAGATACCAGTGGGTGGGGGCTATTCAACACTTGCTACTTGAGAATAGTATTGGTCTGTTCTTACCCCACCCCCCTTGTATATGCTCAGCACTTGAGCTACACTTCTGAAAGGGTATATAATTACAGCCCTTTCTTTGAATATTGGAAGTAAGTCCTTCTGGGTTCAATGGATTTTACTTGCAGGAAGCTGTGCACAGGACTACTGTATCAGCAGTAATTTGGTTTTTACCAGTTTATAAACTTCAACTGTATTCTCATATACAGTAATTTTAGGTATTTTTTTTTTACCTGAAGATTTTTTTCCATGGTAACCCAGTGGCCTCCAACACTGAGTAATGTAATAATGTCATGTTTGTGTGGCAGCAGTTGTTCTGAAGTTGTTTCATTTTCTCTGTTGTATAATTTCACTAAAAAGAAGCAAAAACACTTCCTAAGAAAATACAAGTCACATTTAGGCATGTTTATTTATTTTTTCTTATTAATAGATGGAGTGCATTCAACTTGTCTTTGAAATATATAAGCCTGGCCTTTCTCTTGCACTTTCATTTTTGCTCTGTGATGTTTCCACAGAAAATTATGCTGTGAAATGTATTTGTCTAATTCAACCTTCAACTGTATTATTTATTCAGTGTCAGCAGACTTTGTCAGCAAAGTCTGGCAGCTGCCCAGGACCCAGTATGATCCTTAATCCAACTTCATCCCTGCTTCCCTGATGCTTAGGAACAAGCAAGGAGTATCAGTTAAAGAAAGATGTGAACCATGTATACTTTCTGTAGAGTGGTAAAGGCACTGTGGCCTGGATGCAGGAGTGCACTGTGCCCTGGCAGCAAGCAAGAGCTTTCCAATGTGACTTGGCAACTCTATTTGCAAAAAATAAAAATATATATAAAATAAAAAGCCACCCTCCATAAATGCCAGTCTTTAAGATAATTTCTGGTTTCTGTACAATCTGTCAGTCACATTTTTAAATTCTGCAGTGCTACCTATTTTGGCAAAGATGCTTACATGATTCAGCTTTGCATACAAGTGCTTTGAAATGAGATTGATGTCATTTAAAATACAAGGTAAACATACGTTGGTTTCAGAGAAGCATTATTACAAATTCTTTCATGCTCCAAACCACATGGGAATTGTCAGTTAAATTCTGCATGGTGTAAAGCAGTAAAATCATGCAGTCTCACATATTGTGTTCTCTTACAACTTAAGACTTCTCTGAAGCCTGGACTGCTTCTATCTTAAGCTCAAGAGATTATCCATACCAAATTCCACAATTTGCCTTGGTCTTTTAAGCCTCAATCCTCTTGTTGTGATAGCTGGGAGAATAGTGGAAAAAATGGTCAGTGCTACATACATATAAGTCATTCACGATTTTCTGTCTCCATCAAACCTGTCCAAGAGTAGGCATTAATCTTTCACTGTTTTACAATTTTATACCCATCATTATCTTCTTGTTATGTACTGTTCCCTACTATAGTTGTTTGAAAACTTTATACGTAAATGCACATCTTTTAATCTCTGCTTCCAGTGTATACCCCTCTGAGCATCTCTGTCTCCATTGTCAATACATATATGTCTCCTAACATCTGGCAGCCAACACTGCAACCCAGACATGCACACCACCCAGTGCTAGAGTTCTTTCCCTAGAAAAATGCTCAGGCAGTTCATGGTCCTATGACAAAATAGTTTCCAATGCCCCCCAGAGTTGTCTCTCCCTAAGTAGTTCTACAGCTCAAATGAAAGCAGATATGGAAAGCAAGAGGCCAGTGGTCAACTAGGTGTCCACTCTCATTATTCTGTCCTCAGTTTTAGCCTTGGTCCCAGCCTGCATAAGAGGAGGTTTGGGGAAGAAAAACAAGGCAAAATGTGGGTACAAGGGGCTAGAGTCTAGACTGTAAATAAAACCAATATGTGAGACTGAAGAATGTGACATTGATGACATTATGGCAGGAGCCTTAACAGTTTCTATACCCTCTGGAGAATGAATGAATGAATTTATAAGGCCTAATTCTTTTCTTATAGTGAAACAATTTAGTAATTCTAAACTTTCCATTTTCAAAAATGAAGATCATTGAATTACATGAGCCTTGTGCAGTGGTGGCAGTAAAAAACTGTCACATAAAATTGCATTGTGTCCTATCAGCAGGCATGAAGTTATCTGTCTAATGGGCAACAGTCATTATTTATTATGAAAAGATTTTAAAGCTATCCTTCATGCAGAAGGTATCAAGACCTGAAAATGTTCATATAATTCTAAAATACAATAAAAAACATAGCCTTAAAACAATTTTAGAAGCATAATTGTAAAATGACAAACTATTCATGACATCAAATTCATGAGGAATACTGATATCCAGATAACAGATGTCTCTGGTCAGGATCTGCAGATTTAAAGATTTTTCTTTTGCATATACAACCATTATAAAAATGTTACAACCCTGAGTTCCAGTTTCTCATTAAATACCAGTTTAGGCAGAGCAGGAACATAGGTGACCTACCTATAGTAACTTTCAAATGGAAACTAAAATTCAAGATTGTAGGTCATTTCGGAAACTATTTCCCTTGTGCATAAAATAAGGTCTTAACCTTAGCTCTAGATCTGCTTCTGTGGTTTCATATTACATAAAGATTGTACAGAACAGGATGTAGTTTTATTATACAGGAGTTCTAAAATGAATTACTATAGAATTGGTTTCCTTTAATAACTAGAATTCTAAGCAATTACCTCCTGCATCAAGGATGATATCCACTCCCAATCCGCCTGTTTCCTCCAGGCAGCTTTCTGTCAGGTCATACTTTCCATCTGATTCATCTATAATATGAGCTAGATGAAATGCGAAGACAATTTTTAATATTTTGGGGGTGGTGTGGGGAGAAGCCAGCATACAGTTTCTGTTCTACAAAACAATAAAGAAATCAATATTTGCAACAAAATGAAAACTGCTTATGTTCCTCAACAGCGTTTATAATTAGTCAGTATACAGACAAGAAAACCATTACTGAAGAATAAGAACTTGATCTAAACTTTACCTACTATGAACAGATGAATTTCTTTTGTTTACAACAGGCTTTTAATCCAGTAAAAGGATCCTCTTGTTGGAAGAGGGAAAAAAGTGATGTGTAGAAATGGAAATTTGTCTATATTTGTAGTCAAATAGAAAGGGCATGGAGAAGATTATGACTCTTAAAATGACTGAAAAGTATTAGCTATGCAGATGATTTGGAAGAAAGGAAGCTGTTTCACATGTTAATGACTTTTGGAGAACAAGCAAAAAAAGGAGAAAGGCAGTGATACATTTTGCACATAGCAGTATCATATTGTGGATACATTCTGTGATCTTTTTGAATATTCATCCTTCAGTCAAGCTGATTGAAGGGTGCTATGTCCAAACCTGACACTATAGATTAATTGGGGTGTAAACCTACAGTTAACCAACAATCAGTATTTAAGTAAACTGTGGGTTGTTTAACTAATGCTTCATTTACAGTGTCTGGGTTCAAATGTCACTTAGCCATCTCTGGTTGGAGGCTGAATATTTAAAAAAAACTGTCAGGAAAGATTAAGATCCGCTGTGTTACATGTGAAAGGGTCCTTGGAGAGAAGTGCTTGTGTAGGAATGAGAGGATTAATGACAACTGCTTAGGCCTAGGGGAGTTGGGGGCAATAGTTGTTGCAGAACAAACTTGAGAAGGCTAGTTGAGGGAAGTACCCAGGGAAAGGATGAGAGAGAGAATTTTTAAAAGCTATCCACTGGCTCTGTTGCTGCTCCTCTAGTACAAACATATATGTTTTAAATGGGAAAGTTTGAGACTCCTGAGCATCTGTTCCTGGGTGAGTTTGATCCTCCAGCCTATTGAATTTGAATGACCTTCTATTAAAATATTTGCACTGTATATTGTAGAGGGTTTGTTTCCTCACACTTTCACTGAATTTTAAGCAGGAAGAGAAATTACATTCAAACAACTAGGTGCCATAGTGGCTACCCATTCCATTATATAGTAGTGTGAAATACAGAAGTTGCTTAAGTGAGTATCTACAACCTATTTCACTGTAACAGATACAACATTAACTGGAAATACTTCAGAATTAAGGGTCAAAGGAAGAACTGTGAACAGTCAAGAAGAAAAGTAAGTAAGATTAAAAATAAATGGCTGCGATAGAAGTCTGTTTTTTAAAAAAATCTTAAGTGGGTGGTTCTGATTAAATATTAAATAAATATCCCAGTATTGGGATGGGAGCCTTTTATCAGAAGCTTACACATATGTATGCATGATTTATGAACTCAGAATATGAGTAAAGCCCATCCGTTGTGCCCAATGGCATGTCAAGTGCAATACGCTTCCCCCACTTTTTTGCAATTCCTTCTGGGCAGGGACTACAATAGGAGATGTGGATCCGGGTCACATGTGATGGGCTGTTGCGGCTTAATTTACCCACAAATTGCCAAGCAGCCACAAGGAAGCACACTGCCTGTGGTGTTCTCATTTTCATGTTCAGTTAGACTATTATCAACATGTTCATATGTTGCAACCATAATGGGGTTAACTCTTAAACAACACAGAATGTCCGGGTTCAAACATCATAACAACCACCTAAAATACGGCAACTACAGAGTGTTAAGGCAGCATGCTCCTGTTCCTATCCAACAACTCACAAGTTTCAACAACTGAGAAATTGTCACAGGCAAACCTTGTCTTGTGGAGGAATTGGCATGCAGCCATATATGGATGGTATGGTACACTGGCCTGGTAGGTCATGTTATATAGAGATGCTGCAGTCTATATACTTCTTTTTTCAGAAGTAGCATGAAATCTAACTGTCATATGTTTTAATTTTTCCTTTTCAGACTTCATTGTGTCCAGGCCTTGAAATGTCTCATTTATTTAATATTTCAATACTGATTTATCATTATTCAAAGTATTTATGTATTTTCCTTCTTCAAAATTCATTATAAGGCTGTTATCTCCCGCCCCCCCCACACACACACACCACAGCGCAGTAAGTGAGACACAGTACTTAAAATGTTTTTGACTGGTGTGTAAAGTGTTGGCATCAAGCTTCCCTCCTTTAGGAGGAAATTCTGTAACTGGGGAATAAAAGCTGAGAAAGTCCTCTCCCGAACTGACATCAGTCTCACTTCTGAAGTGGGAGGCACTAAGAGAAGGGCACTAGTAGATGACTTTGGAGTTCAGACAAGGTAACAAGAGTATATAGTCATTCAGTTACCTGGGCTCTGACCCATTTAAGATTCATGAAAAGCACATGAATATGTCAAAATAAAAAGTTATTCATGTAGTTTAGTATCAAACAATGGAACTCACCCACTGTAACTCACCCACAGATGGTGTAAATCTCTCAAGATACTGCTTGTCTTCTTGGCTATACACAGTAGAAATTACTTTGGCTCCTCTGTGGTGTGCTAACTGAATAGCTATTGTACCAAATGGCTGTAGATGAAAAATAGACTGAGTATGTACACATGTTTCTGTATCTTATGTACTAGTGAAATAAAATATAGGGCCATATTTTCACTATAAGCCACATTAAGACTTATTCTAATAATGCCTCCCATTCCTGTACTCCTAATGAGACTAGACATGAACGTTGGGCTCACTTGCCTCAACTGCTGCTCCTCTTCTGCACCCTAAATACAGAAAAGCCTGAAAATTTTATGTTTGTACTTTGCTCCTTCAAAATAGGGAACATATGGTATTCTTTAAAATGATGATTCTAAGACAAACATACTAAATGTGAGTTTAAAAAATAACTTTCTCAAGTCATTTTTGTGATATTCCATAACAGCTCCCTTTCTTGTACCTACACTTGCTCCATCCATTACAAGAACAGTTTTTCCAGGAGAGACGTAGGAAAGATAATGCAGAGCTGTGTATGCACGAACACCATCCCGAATGATCCCTGCCGATTCAAGCCAGGGGACTTTTTCTGGTTTATGAACTGTTTCACAAGAGGGAAAAAATGTTGGATACAGATTTAAAAGCAGGATTAAAGGTTGCCATACTTAATACCATTATGAAAGAAAACATTCAGTTTGCACAATCTATTATGAAAACATTGACCAGTGTTCTTCCTCCCCAAACACGTAACAGTGCAATCCAACTGAGATGTCCATAAGCTTCTTGGAGAATTACAGGCATCACTTGCAGTGCAGGTGGAATGGCAGAGGCAACTCTCTCCTCCACATTCTGCACTTATACTAGACAGTTGCATTTGGACTTCTAACTGGGGTGCTTCAGAGAAGGATGAAAGATGGCTAGAGTGCCATCAGGATAACTCACAGCTTGGCCTGTTTTTCTCCCCTCCCCCTTTACTCCTTTTCTGAGGTTGCCTTTGTAAACTCCAAGAGCATCTGTCATGGTTCTTTTCATGCTGACTGTGAGGGAGGAGGGGAAAGAAATCAGAGGTACAATCCACAGCTACATGGTCAAAGCACTACCTCTGACAGAGATGGGAATATGAACAACCCTAGGCCCATCCAGATGAGGATTGCTACCTCCATTTAAAAATTGCAAATTTTACAAGTTTATTTACTTTGTTTTATTCTAAGACTGTCCCAAGCCCATTTGGTAGCAGACGGTATATAAAAGTTTTAAATAAATAGATAAATTTAAGTTTGAAATTATGTTACCAAAGCTGTAAGCTCTATCGTTTAAACAGTCTGCCAATAAGTGATTGATTATTCTATGGTACAATGTCTGATTTTATAATGGTAGAGTATCAAATAATTGTTTTATATTTGTATAAAATAATTCTAATTATTTTGTGGAACAAGGGTGTTTTTTTAAGAGCTATGGCTGAATTCAAAAGATGTTGAGAAAGAATATGGTATGTAATCAAAGGAATCCTAAAACTTGTTTCCGAGTTTCTACTAGAGCTTAGTTGAAGTTGTTCCAACCAGGATGGAGGCATGAAATTACAAAGGAAAAGGGGAAACATGACCTTGATTTGGAAAGGTTAGGCTACTAAACAACCTGAAAAAAGGACAGAATGATGAATTGGGAAATATCTCCAGGATAGTCAAAACATCAATATAGAGCACTATAGGAGCGTCTTAACACTACAGTGGATACTTCCACAGCTTTAATGTAATTGTTTCAGTTGAGAACTTTTAATTCCAAGCTTGATTGTGAGTATTGGGCCAGGATCAAATTTGTGCTGGCAAGTGTTATACAGGTTTGTCTTTTCCCTAAATATATATTGTTTTCTTTCTCTAACATTCCATTTCTCTCCTGTCCTTCTGTCACTGTAACTTTTAGAAAAAGAATGAGTAAAATAAAATTATCATTTAGATCAATACTATCTGAAACTCTGGATCTTAATAGCACAATTACATAAGTAAGGCGAGGAAAATGGATTATTTTATTTTATGGTAATAGAAGGTGAGGTGCATGTGGTGCACAGAAACATGTATCTACTGTTCAGATATTATTCTAGCTATCTATGGAATACAGAAAACTCTCTGATAGTGGATTAGACTATTTGTCAATCTAGTCCAGAATTGCCATGCTGACCAGTGGGAGGATGTGACCTACTTTTCTGCAGAAATTCTGCAATTCTGGCAGCAGCAGAAGAAGGATACAGCCTATGAGTCTATGAGTTTACTTTCCTGTTAGGCAATGCAGGAAAAATAACTTTAAAGATATTTATTTTATCTGATACCAGACAGCGATCAAGTGACAAAACTGAAAGTGAAAATTCCTAAAGTTCTATAATTGTATCCAAATATCCATTGCCTGGATTATATCAACTATAATATAGGAGGCTTATAAAGTTTAAAGCACTATCACAATATCATTAAATACTACTAATAAGCTCGAGTTGCATAAGTGGATGAAATACTGGCAGCGTAAAATGGCTTAAATCCAAAAGTGCACTCCCTCAAAAGGAAACCATTTCTGCTCATGGAAGGGTTATTTCTGACTCAGCAAAAGAGTGTTTCATGAGAAAAGTGAACTGAAATCCAGAGGTGTTAAGTAACCACAAACCCTTGCACAACTATCTACATAGGACTTTATTATTTTTCTCTGAATTCTTTCACTATGTATAGCTTACTGCCCTTATATGTTTGAAAAATGAGCCCTAATAAATAAGATGTACACGCTTTGTTATTACAAAGGAGACCAAAACCCCCTTCCTACTGCAAAACAATCTTTCCAATAGGAAACTGCATATGTCCCAACTATTAGGGCTTACTTCACAATGGGGAATATCTTTAAAACAAGATGCACCCCTCTACCTCCTGACAACACATTAAACGGTTGTCTAAATTAAACACATTAATTTAAACACATTAAATATACCATGCCTACACACTACAGCCTTGGATCATACATAATTATTTATATACTATGATGTTTCAGATACTTCACTGAATTAAAATTTTCACTAATGCTTGAACAACAGTTCAGAACAGTGCTAAATCTGGATCTAACCAAACCCAACACTGTTTTTCTCATATTTTTGATCTTCTGGATTTACCTACAGTTTTTTTCCCTTTCTTTGATTTGTGAAACCAAGTTATATTACTCTAAAATAAAAGAATGCCCTGGAATAAAAGATGAAGTGTGGGAGGAAATGCAAGCTCAAAACAACAGTAATTGTTGCTTTCAAAAATATTTGCTCTGAATTTTCAATCAGTAGGAAGACTGAGTGAAGCAACAAGAGAAGAAACTTAATAGAAAGGGATGAGTCAGCTCTTGTGGTATCTATCTGAAGATTATGTAATTTGCTGAATAGTATGTATTCCAGCTATTGTTTAGGAAAAGATTATAAAGTATTTACATTTCAATGGAAGATAATAAACTTTTAAGAATACTTGAGCATTGATCATTACCTATACATTAAACAAGAAGTTTGTCTTAGTTTTTTTTTAAAGGGTTACTTTGGCTCTGGACTCATTACCTTTGCTGACTAACACACAATACATACCTAAATAATGTTCATGAACTAGAATATGTTCACACAGACCAGACTCTTCTGAATCCAGTGGCAAAATTCCTGTGAAATCAAAACAAAACCCTCTTGCTTGAGCCAAACAGATCAAATATTACATATCTAATCTAACTCATTTGGCTGATCATCACTATTACCATATTTCAGTTCTAAATAGTGCAGATGCAAGAGATAAAGCTGGGAACACGGCAAACCTTTCCTAAGTGCCCCTGCTATAATAAGATGGGCTCAAAGCCATATGCTCATCTCCCTGCACACCATTTAACACAAATATTATAGAATGGAATCAGAATCATATTTTAGGTGAAAATTAAAAGGGAATCTAATTAAAGTGCACTAGAGTACCTATAAATGATGGTTACAAAAATGAGTATTGAAACATTATTGTGTACTTTCCTTGGAAGCTTCTTCATGAATGTACCTGAAACTTGCCTTGTGGCAAGGATGGGGAACATAAGGCCCCTACTCTCATCAGACCTACCCACCACTGGCCATAGTGAAGAATCATGGGAGCCCAGCATTTGCAGGCCAGCATCTGGGACCCATACATTACCCATCCTTGCCTTCGGCAAAAGGATTCTGATACACTGGAAGAAGTGAACAGGGAGGGTGGAAACCACATTAGCAGAGAAACCACCTGGACATCTGTCAGGCATATTTACACACACACACAAACTTGAAGCATGGAAACCATGCAGGGTTGCTTGTTGTGACCTGTGAACCCAGCCAAATGCTTTGACTGAAGTGGAAGTCATCAGGAAGTCAGCATTGTGGCAGAAAATAATTCCGTCCTTTCTTTTTTTTGGTAGAAAACCATGTACAAGAGTCCACTCACAAAGTACAGAGCTCATTAAATTGGCAAGCTGACTTAGCCACTAGAAAGGCCAAAAAGAGAAGAGTTTTACAGTGAGAGCTTCCAGTACCACCGAAAGATCGGTACTGGAAAGGGGGAGAAGAGGTTTAATGGGAGATGCAATACTATGAGTGTCTCCAAGAAACTGTTTCAATTGGGAGAAGGGAGGAGGATACTGCAGCCATGTAAACGCTAAGAAAAGAAAGTCTTAACCCCGTTTGAAGCAGAGCTAGCAGGAAGAATAGAACATGGTGACCAAAAGAGATGGAGCGACTGAGGCCTTTTAAAAACATTAAACAAGGGAAGGCCTTCCATTTTCTTGCATAAGAAGCCCCGGGGGGGGGGGGCAGGGGTAAGTATACAAACAACATCTAATACCATCTGCATCAAAGGTTTGAATTTGGTGAAGTCTCAATCTTATAAGGCAGATCCAAGTGTCAAATGCAACTTTGATCCTGTGTTAGCAAACTCAGGATAGGAGATGAAGAAACTGTCCTTTCAAATTATGCAGGAGGGAGGCAAACCAAGGCTGTTGTCACCACCATAGAGCAATCAGGATACAGTTTGTCCTGCGCTGTCCTCCTGCATTTTCATAAAGACCTTACCTTGATCAACGGCAAGAATGGTGGAAACCATAGAATAGGGACCATGAAGCCATTTGGTCCAATCCCCACCTTTTGCAGGACACCAATTTGCACTATCCCAATTTGCACTATCCCGCTCAGATGGAAGATGCAGAACAGTCCATTTAGCCATCGAAAAAGGAAAGCATCATCTAGGGAATCTGTGCTGATTCCAGCAAGAGTGCAGAACTACTGATGTATCACATTCTCCTGGGTGGCAAAGAGGACTATGAGAGGAATATCCCATCAATGAGAAGAATATTCCATTAGGAGGGAGGTCCTAACCTTCACATCCAGATTCCATTTCTGGGACAACTGGCAAGAATGTCCGAGGGAGTCTGCCAGAAGGTTGTTGATATGGGCTATAGGGATGGCTGAAAGCATCTTGTTTTGTTGAATGGTTCAATTCCAAAGGTTGAGCAAGTGAGTCTTGAAGATTATGTACCTCGTTTGCTGATGTAGCAGACTACTGTCATGTTATCCACAATAATTTAGATGTGATAACGAATGATTTCTGACTCAAAAGCATGCAAGGAGTTCCAAACTGTTAGCAACTTGTTGAATGTTGGTGTAATGTTTCTTAGCTTGAGACTTTGTCTTTGAACTGTCAACCTTAACACTAACCCTAGCCCTGAAGAAATGCATCTAGGGACATGTGCACTATGATAATGGAGGAGTGTTCCTGCCCAAATTTTCTCAAGTATAGAAGCTCCCTGCATCGGGGCCCCATGAAAGCACTGAGCCCCTGTGTGTGGTACACAGAGACCACAAAGAACTTAAGAAATAGTAGCTCCCACAGCTGCTTAGGGAGGGGATGATTACCAGTAAAGTTGTGGCTGGAAAGGGAAAATTTAAACCCTTCTTCCCTGAACTGGATTTCCATCAAAAAGCAGATACCCTCAGCTCAAGGGGAAAATATCAAGATGCAGTTGCTATGGCTTTAGTGTAATGTGTAGTTTGATTCTTGTGTTCCAGTTTCAATGCTCTGAGACAGGCTTCTGTGGGAGAACTAGCTGGTCAGTTGAAATCTGATGGGAATTTTCTACAAGTTCTAAGCCAGCACTTGATGGAAAAGAGCAGGCAGAAAATCAGTTCTTCACTGGCTGATGGGATCTGAGCTAGCAGTGACTGATCAAATAAGGGATCTTGGGGTTGTGGTACACAGCTCAATGAAAATATCAACTCAGTGTGTAGCTCTTGTGAAAAAGGAAAACTTATGTTAGGCATAAGTAGGAAAGGAACTGAAAGTAAAGCTTCCAAGATTGGGCTTCCTTTATACAAATGTTGGTGCATATTGTGTTCAGTTCTGGTCACTGTACCTGAAAAAGGACATTACTGAGTTGGAAAAAGGACAGAGAAGGGCAACTAAAATGATGATGAGGTTGGAGCAACTCCCCTATGAGGAACAATTACAACAATTGGGATAGTTTTCTTTCTCTATCATAATACTAAAACCCAGGGTCATCCCATGAAGTTGCTTGGTAGACCATCCAGGACAGATAAAAGGGAAGATTTATTCTCACAACACATAGTTAAAGTATGGAATTCAATGCCACAATGCCACAGTGATGGCCACCAATCTGGATGGCTTTAAAAAGGGATTCAACAAATTAATGGAGAAGCTATCTATAGCTAGTAGTCTTGCTGGCTATGTGCTGCCTCCATTATCAGAGTCAGCATGGTTGTGTACATCACCATGAGGAGCTTGGGCAGGCTGAAGTCTTGTACACATCCTGCTTAGCAGATCCTGCAGGCAGCTGGTTTGCCACCATGTGAACAGAGTACTGGACTGGATAGACCATCAGTCTGATCCAGTATGGCTTTTTTATGTTTGTTCAAGAGGGAGGAAAAGTTTTTGCAATTTATCTCTTAAGTGCCACTACAGCACTTCCATTGTGGCTGACAATGGCATTCACCTACTTGCAGCTTGGCCACAGTGGCCAGTCTTTCTGCTGCCCTGGTGAAACAGCTCTGTAGACTTTTTGCTTGACCATGGGTTGCTGTGTTGTTTGAGTACAGATGACAAAAGAAGCCACACAAAGTAAATCCTACAGTGAGCCTGTGTTTGTTGGGGTGGCTTGCTGGTAAACATTTCTAACAGGTTAAACAATTCTTACAGGTTAAAAGGATTAGCTGATGAAATAAAGCAACAACTTACCCACTACTTCATCATGTGGCTGAAAGGAGGACACTTTATTTCCAGCTAGCAAAAAGAACATAAAAGGATAATAAAACAGAGAAGTTACTCAATTTGTAATCTATACATGATAATAATAATTCACGTTACAAAAGGAATGCCCAAACAGTAACACATTCACAAACAAAAAGTACCAATCCTGCAGAAAGCAGTGCAAAGAACTAAAGGCAAATGAGCAGAATCATAAAAAAGCATGAAAGGCAAAATCTCTAGGGTCACTGTTGACCTAAGATAAACACCAATATTGAGCATAAGCAAACCAAATCCAACAATCAAATAGAAGGAACTATAACTAGATGCATCAGAATCCCAGTATTCCATTCCTGGTTATAGCAACTACAAATTTCATAGGCAAGCTTTACAAACTGTCAACCAAGAAAACTAACTACATGCCACAGACTTGCTAAAGTTCCTGTTACGGTGTCTATCTGGAGCTACATAAAATGACAGGGTACAATGACCAGACTTGCAAAACATCCTAAACCACTAGAGGTGGCTGGCCATCTTTGCTAGGAGGTGGTTTATACGCTACCTTGGGATAGGTTAGGAACCATTCCAAAAAGCGGTGACTTGTTATTGGATTTAGTAAACCCACTATTGCTTCGTATGTCATCTGAACCTGGATGACACACCAAGCCATGATCAAACCAGAAGATGACAGAGCCTTTTGGCCAGAGTGGCAAAAAAGAGCTGATGCCCCTGGCCAAGGAACTCTGGCCACTGACAACTGGAAAAGTGCCCAAGTGGCACTTTGTACAACTAGCTTTCCCTTACCTTCTGCCTACTCAGGGAAGTCCCTTGGTATCTGAAGGAACATGGAGGGAAAAAGTTCCACCATGTGCTATCTGCTCAACTGACAGTACTGGGGGTGCAGTACACCATAGAAAAGGGGGACACACTTCCTTGTGAAGTGAAAAGGCTGTAGCAGGAGGTGAGCAAAGTGTTCAGCCTCCCCAGAGAGGAGGCAGCCAATTAGTGTATGCTTCATTTACCATCATGCTGCCCACTGCATACTGCCTGGGGAAACAGCAGGCAGAGCCAGCAGGAAACAAGAGCCAGTTGGCCAGGACAAGCAAAAGGGAAGAAGAGCTAGGTTCAATGAGGAAAGGAAGAAGGGGTGCCAAGTCGCCTGGCACTGCATTGCACTTTCTGTCAAGAAAGCACTGTGCCAGGAGGCTTGGGACTTCCTCTCACTCTGTGCCAGTGCTCACCTAAGCAGTCCCATTCTCTCAGCATTGGCAGAAGCATGGGATTGGTAAGCAGGTGACAGATACAAAGGTGCCCACTTTTGGCAGCCATCATGTGCACTAAGACCAACCCCCCCACACACCAAATAATAACCACCCCCACCCCCAGATGCATATTATCACAAGCTAGAAAATCCAAGGAAGAAATAAAAGCATTCAAGAGTTCTGGCTGTGCATTCACAGCATACTGTGTTTTGCAGTGCAGTTCTCTTATGGCCCCTGAACTTCAAACTTCTAAGGAATACCAAATAGACTTAACGTCACTGCATTACTACTTTAGCTATAATTTCTGTAGAAAGACTGAGAGTATCTATAAAAGATATAAAAAACTATAAAAGCAAGAATATGTAAGTGGGCAATTGCTAAGGAAGTGCAACACAACAGATTTGATTTCAAAAGAGGCAACTTCAACAAAAAATGACAATATTGGAAAAAGAAACCTGAAAATGAAACTTAAGCTAGTCTCCCTAGAATGCTTGAGAAATATTTTAAACTGCAATAAAAGAAACTTGGCTAGAAAGTATCCTGTAGATCAGGAAATACTACGAAATTCAAGACAGTTCCACCATGGTTAACAAGCAGAGTCAAATAAACTATTCAAAATGAGAAGTCTTCTTCAGGAAATGGAAGTCCTGCCCAGATGTGAACAAAAGGTACAGAAACTCTGGGAAAAAAGAATACAAGCTGAGAATAAGGCAACATGGTTTCTTCCAAATGTTTTGAACTATAACCCTCTCTGGCCCCAACCAGCATGGCCAATGGTTGGAAGGATTATAACTCTCATCCCAAACTTCTGGAGGGTATCAGGTTGTCCTCCCTTCCAATAAGAAATGCAGCATTTAAGGAACATACTGCTAAAACATTAAAACTAAAAACAAAAACCATGCAAATATGTCAGGAACAAGAAACTAGTGATATCAGCAGTCTGTTGGCCAACAATCAAGTTAAAATGTGTGCTAAGGAGAAGGATGAGTCAGCACAGAAACGGAACAAAGTATTTGCATATGTCTTCACTGTAGAAGATTTAGGGCCAGTATTTGCACCAGAGTTAGAATTTTCTAGAAGATTCTCTGGAATCGAGGGAAATAGTGATATTAGCTTTATTGTCAAATCAGAAACAAAGAATTCACCAGGGCCAAATGATACCCATACAAAGGTTCTTAAATGTGAAATTGCTGAACTTCTAACAAAAATATGTTAATACACTTATTTGCTTCTACACCCAAGTAGCCAGTGTAACAATTTTTAGAAAGAGATTCAAGAAGGATCCAGAGATTGCAGACTAGTTAACTTAGTAACTCTCTAAGTTAATTGGTAGAAAGCAATGTAAAAGATAAAATTATAAATTGTACAGGACAAGTTGCTGAAGAAAAATCAGCATGGCCTAAGTTCTGACTCACTAACCTATGGAAACTCTTTGGGAATATTAACAGGTGTGTGGATGGGATGATCCAGTAGTCACTGAAAACTTAGAAGACACGGCTCAAGAGGATGCTTCCTCTTATGAACAGAGACCACAGAATAATGCCACAATTCTCACAATGGAAGGAAGAACCAGAAGGATCATTGTTTGTCACTTGTGGTTATGGGCAAGCAGTATGGTCACCAAGTTGCAGATGACATGAATTATTTATGATGTTAAAAACAAAAAGGGATTGCTAAGAGCTCCAAAACTAGGTGAATGGGTATTAAATTAGAAATGATTATTCACATATATGTAAACTAGCATATACTGAGATGAGACATCCTAACTTCACATATATAATGATGGTCGTCTGAGCTGGGCATGACTGACCAGGAAAGGGATCATGGTGAAGGGCTGAATAGCTCAATGAGGACACTGATCCTCTGTGCAACAAATGTGAAAAAGGTAGAGATAATTAAGCCAGATACTGAAATTAAAATTGACAAGATCACATTGCCATTATACTAACATATGGTGTGATCATATTTAGTATATCGCAGTATATACAATGTTAGTCCTATTTAGAATTGATTCCAGGTTAAATTAGACTATCATTGGATTCAACTCCCCCTCCAAAAAAAAGTTGCTCCACAAAAAAGGATACTGGAAAAAGAGCTAGAAAAGTACACAAAAAGGAAAATAAAATGTTGAGAAGGCTGAAGCAACTCCCTTCCAAGGAAAGATTACACTATTTGAGGTTATTTAGCTTAGAAAAGAGGCAAGGAATGGGGGGGGCATGGTAGAAATGTATAAAATTATGCATGCTGTGGATGAGGTAGACAGCAATTTCTTCTTCCTTCTTTGTAATAGCAGAATCAGAATCATCCAGTGAAGTTGAATTACGGAAGAGTTGGGTCAGTAGAAGGAAAGGATGCTTTTCCACAGTGATTAGGTTACAGAATTTTCTTCCCCCAAAATTGGCTAAGGCAACTTGGATGGCTTTAAAACAAAATTAGATTAACTTCATGAAGGATAGACCATTTGTGGCTGCTAGCCATAACAGAAAATTAGGTCAGAAGCAACACACCTCTGAATCCCGGCAACTAAACAACAGCAGGACAGGCCTATTGCCCTGATTTCCTTGTGAGCTTTTGACAGGTCTCTCATTGGGAAATAGTATTAGACTAAATAGAATATTTGGCCTGATCCAGTAGAACTTTTATGCTTTATGAATTTTTATGTATGTGCATTTATGTCAGTTTTTGATGGTAATAAAGATATTACAATAAATATTACAGTTTACAGTTAAATACGGTGACTGCTCTGGCCACAATAGTATTAAGAATGGACTATCACCAGAGCACAACATGGACTGAGGGATTTTGGGGGGATATTATAAAATAAAGAATGATTCCCAGGGCTTGGAAGCCATAGCTAATTAGTGGCAATAAAGGTTCAAATCAAATTTAGAAGAAAAGGCCTGTCCTGCACATATGCCACCCCCGCACAATCTAGAATTGGGGTGGTAGGCATATTTTGCCCATACTGCAGTACTACTGCTAATTAATATTTCACCATCAATTAATGGGAGCCATTCCTTTATATAAGAGAAAGTAAGGGGATAAAGCCAGAAACACAAGCAGATAAAGCTAACCTATCTCTTTTCCCCTAATATCCCCAGCTGTTAAAGATTAAACCAGCTACAATTTGCATAGCTATATTCTGGCCTTTATTTTTTGGTTGCAAGTGGAATGGAATATTAGGAGAAGGTCTCACAACATTGAAAACCAGCTTTTATATGAAAAAGTTGGATGGTTCAATTTTGAATAGTTCAAATACTGTTTACACTTCATTTTTCAGTGTCAAGGAGAACAGTAATATTATGGTAATTAGTATACTTACTTTCCAACACAACACCAGCAATTTCCCTTCCAACAGGCAGAAATTCCTTCTCCATCTTGATTTCTGACAGAAGCTATTTCAATTAATGGTTAGAACAGCTATTGTCAAGAGCAATACATTTGCACATATCACAACAGTAAAAAGCCATCATAACTTCCTCTACAACTCTACTAAAACAACCTGTTCCTAATTATCCAAAATAGTAGGATGAGAAAGATAGGTAATATAGCTCAGCAATCCTGAAATTCTATGCACACTTTCCAAAGAGTAAGTCATTATACATTTGCTTAATGCATAGGATTGTACTATAGATCTAGTGTGCTTAATAATACCGGTAGTCTCTGGGTTATGAATGAGTGCAATTCTTAAGAAAATGGAAATTCATTTTTAAGTCAAATTTTATGCAAATCAGATCACATATAGTCAACCCTCCATCTTGGCAGAAGTTAGGAATGCAGGACCCTTTTAAAGCGGAAAACCCAGACTTACTAGTGCCTCCTCTTTGCAAAAAGGAAATGCTGGAAAGATTTCCCTCTCCAGATGGGCATCTTTGGAGGCTTCCCCTCTCTCTATGGTGATGCTTTTGAGGTCCTCCCTTGTTCTCTTTTTGCTTCCTGTCTATGGTGATGACAATTTCCTGCATTTTTTTTTTTTTTGCAAATTAATAGGCTTCGTTGTTCATATGGGTTGTTCGTAACTCGGGGACTGCCTGTACATTCTTGGTTGTGGAAGCCTAGTACTTCACAATGGCTAAGCCCTGTTTATTGTATATAGCAAAAATGAATCCCCCTAGGGAAAAATTAGACACTGAACACTCATCTGTTAATACTTCAGATTTTGCCTGACACTTGCAATTTTAAATGTAGTGATAAAATCTTTATTTTCAATTTAGAATTTAGCTTATTTATTATGCATACACATTTTTCTATCAGTAATTTTAATAAATTTTGCCATGCAATTTACAATAGCTGACACTCATCTTATTTTGTTTATTCTGCTCCTCTGTGCAATCCTGTACATGTCTACTCAGAAATAAGTCTCCAGTGACGGATATGTGATGTTGGGAAAATTCAGATAAATCCTGGTAGAAAAAGGTTGCTTATATGTGCCTTTGTGTTATAAAATGCCCCGAGGCTTTGTTGCGATGGGGGCGGCATAGAGATGTTTTAAATAAAATAAAATAAATAAAATCAAACCTGTGCCCCAAGCTCCAAGCCAGGTTACTGTTTAGCATTGCTGTTCCTTAAAGATGGAACTCTTAGCTGGACTGAGAAGCTGCTGCAGGCTAATACTATCAGTGGGGAAATACTGGTGTGCTGAGGCAAAGACATTCATTTGTTTCTCAATAGACCCATTTAATCATCTAGCTCAACAGAGGCAAGTGCCAGTGTAGTTGCCAAACCAGTTTTCCTGAATGGCTCCTCAATCAAACATATTTGCATTTTTAAGCAGACACAAGCTGATCCAAACTGTCAGGAATTTACTGAATTGTCAATAAGGCTACATCAGGGAAATTTTCTATTCTATTGTCATGGGCTTTTCTGATTGGTTTAGAGTATTGTTTTGTGTATGAAGACATCAAGATGTTATTATGTTAACATATCTGGAAACCTAATACTCTGCATGTGACTGGAAGGTTATAAAAATGTCTGTGCATGGGTTATGATTTTGTAGTTGGTGGTGGAGACCACTACCTGGTAGTATGCTGTCATAAGTAACTGCAAGAGGCCTGGGTGATCTCACCAATAAAAATGCTGGGGTTCAAGGTGATTCAATCTTCCCTGCGGGACCAATTCATTCTCACCTTTGGTAAAGAGACTCTGACAGTGGCTTACTTCCAGGAAAGCATGTATAGGATTGCTGGCCTCATGTGCTGGTCTAGACAAATATCAAATACATACTAACAAACCACATTTGTAAGTTTTCAGTTTTCTTTTTAAAAAATGAAATTTTAAAAGTTAAAAAGAAGGCAATATGTTAAGTGTATTTAATAGCAGATATAATACACAGGCTTTCATGTGTATTCATTTGCCAGGCCAAAGAGGTCCGCCTGGCACCGTCATTACTGGTTTTTCGGCGCCAGGTAAAGACCTTTTTATTTAAACATCATTTTAATTGTTAAAATATATGATCTGGCCAGGGCAACCCTTCTCTTTTCTCCTCCTATATTTTTTATTTACTTATTTTATACTGTTAATTTTAATTTTATATTATTATGTTTGTATCTCAGTGTATTTTTTGTATTTTTGTATTTAATGGTAATTTATTATGTTCTATTGTATTTCAATGTATTTTATTGTGTTGTA